AAGGTACGGCTAGTGTGATACTCCGCGAGCAGAAATGCCCAGTACGGGTAATGTGACTGCTTCTAATGTGACGGCTCCCGCAGCGCCCCTTGAGGAGAATGGTGGATCTGGCCTTCTGCGGTTCGAACCTGCGGTCATGACGTGGAGGTCATGGCAGTTTCGATACCGCAACTATATCAAGTTGAGGAAGGTCACGGACACAGATGAACAGAAGGCTATCCTGCTGGACGCCTTGGGCGTGGACGCGATGGAAATGCTGCAAGAACGCAGCAGTCTGTCTGCGCCGTGTGATACAACCTCCATGTGTCTGCCGCGTGACCCGGACGATTACACCAATGCTCAGATTGTGGATAAACTCGAGCAGGCATACGTCCGGAAGACCAACGCGACTGTAGAGTGGGCAATGTATTTCCAGCTGCGTCAGGAGGCCGGGGAAACGTTGTTGGAGTTTTCCAACAAGCTGCGGAGGAAAGCAATTAACTGCAACTTCCCCGGAGACGTGTTGGAAAAGAACATGTCGTCCACGTTCCTGAACGGTGTGGCCAGCGATGCCACGCGTCAGCATCTCATGACCAAAGATTTCACGATGCTCGAAAAGGCCCTGGAGAAGGCGCAGCAATACGAGCTGGCCAAGACCACCAAGCGTGGCCAAGCGTCCACGGAAGTGGCTGACGTAGCCATCGTGCGCACCAAAGCAGAAAGGCGTGGCCAAGGTCGCAGTCAATGTCAACTAGGCCGAGCTGGAGGAAGAAGGTACGGCACAGGCGGAAGCCGCAGGAGGGACGGTGGGCGAGATGAAGGGAGCAGCCCGGACGAACGCGGCAGCAATTCTGCTGACAATGGTCGACTGCGCGGGGGAGGCGCAGGGTGTTATTCCTGTGGCGATGTGGACCACAGAAAGGCGGACTGCTGGGCGAAAGATGTCCGGTGTGGCAACTGTGGCAAACGAGGCCACATTGGCAGGATGTGCCGCTCGGAGCCCAAAGAGCGGGAACAGCACCAAGGCGGGAGGCGAACAATGCTCATAGAGGATGAGTTTGATGTCATGGGCATCAACATCGCCCCGGAGAACACAGACGACTCGTTGGATACAGTGTGGTGTATGTTAGATACCTTAAGCAGGCAGCTGAACGAACTAGCGGAACGATGCCGTGCGCTGGAGCAGCGGGATGGCAAAGATTCCGCGAACGAACGTTCACAGATGAATCATGCAGAAGTATTGTTTGTGGGTGAAACAACCGCCTACGGGCGCATGACGGACGGAACCGATGAACGGAGAAATAGCGATACGGCGTACAGAGACGCAGTCAGCTGTGGTGCACGACCAAGTCAGAGCCAGTGCGAAGCGACAGCGTCTGTTGCGGACGCCGAGGCCGAACCGGATATCACTTCGGATGTGACTGGAAAGCGTAAGAAAGTGAAACGCAAGAAACGGAAATAAGCACTACTTTCGACTGCCAGTGGAGGAACCGAAAACGCTTAATATTCGTAAAAATTTTTATTATTACTATTATATTATTGATGCTGTAATTGTTTTCTATTTTTTGTGAGTGGGTTCCCCACTGGGGGGAGATGTGGCGTAGTATAGCAACCGTGTTGCTAGCGTATGGTCATCAGTGTGAGACCATCAGTGTGTGTTGGGTCGAGCTGCAGTAAACTACTAAGTCGTGGCACGAACGGAAACTCTCGCGGCGTAAAGTCCTACCGACGAAATGTCCTGCGAAGCGTAGCGAGGCTAGTTGGCCTTGCGGTGAAATGTCTGAGACCAAAGCCTTGCGACTAGTTGTCCGCGGCGAAATGTCGCGGTGCCGCGTATGGCACGCGTATTATATATTTAGCTATGAAAATTACTGTAGCGCAACTACGAGTTTAACAAATTTAACTACAGTAAATTCGCTACTATACACAGAAGAGAAGTTCACACTCCTCTTGAGGGTTTACACTCCTATTGACTATACGCTATACACTATACACAGTTCACACTCCTGTTGACGGTTACAACCTAATTTCCATCGATACACAGCAACATGCCCCAAATGCTTCAGATACTAAGTAGTAAAACAACATGCCGCGAGTGTGTTATCACTATTATGGAAGAACGGTATGTCTGGTTTCTGCTGGTTTCCGTTCCATCTGTAAAAATAACTCGTTTTCCATGAGCGGTTAACGGCTCTGCATAGTAATGCATTAAACTTTCTCCACCCCGCGGTAAATTAGCGCCAAAACAAACAAATTTAGTGGATATGACTCACGAAGTAAGCGACTTGTGATTGGTCGTGACATATTTCCAAAAATGGAGAAACCATTGGAAACCAGTTTCGTTACTTGTTCACAGTCCGAAAGTGGAATCAGAATTAGCCTTAGTGGCGCTCGTGGTCGGCGATGCCAAATTACCAATGCCGTTGACGGTAGCTTGATTGGCGTTAATGCATGTTGCGATGCAACTTTTCCATACCAAAGCATTAACGTTTGCATACTAATGAGCGCTAAGTGGTTTGTTCGCCGCGATTGTTGAAATGATAAGAAAAATCATTACTTTGCAAGAAAAACAGTAACTGGAAATCGGGAGATTTCCGAACGTAAACAGCAACTGCCAGCGTGAACTTTTAGCCCTTAATAAACCCACTATACAGATATAAGCCGAGAACCGAAAGGGTAGAGGGCACTAAAATCTGCAGTTTTCTCTCTTCTGTCTTCGAAACTACAGCAGCACCGCTTCCGGTAGCTTATTTCTCCGCCCACTGCTCATCATGTTTGTTCTTCTCACCGTGACTATTCTGCTGCTGGCCGCCTCCTCTGGCCCGGTGGCCGGTCAGGACCTGTGTGCGACAGTGTGTACCCCTGGATCTGGTCCGTGTAAGGGGTTGTCCATCTGCAACACGTGCCCAGGGTGTAGCTTTGGGGCGCCTGCACCGACTCCCGCGCCTCCCCTGGCATGTCGCTCCTGCTGCTGACCAACCACGTCGCGTGCCGCTCGGTAACCAACAAGTGGTCCTCTGCTGGCGATATTAGCTGTCCGGTTGCCATAAGACCGCATTTAGATTGCTGATATGATAGCTCTACATTGTGTGCTAATTAACTAGTGCGTCACCGTCGCTTGTTGTTTTGCTTGTCGAGCGAGCTCACGATACTGTAAACAGTTTACAGACAACGCTTGCCATTTGCTGGTTTGTATCCACCGTAGTGGACGTGGTTTCTTGCTGGACTGAATGCATCGGATAATCAAATAAAGTAGTCTTTTAATTTTATGGTCTGTTGTAGTTTGTTGCGCGAGAACGTTGTCCCTAGCCGAAAGTAACGAAATAGAGATTAGAGGTGGTTAATGATTAGCTTCCACTATATAATTAACCGGTGAACCTGGACAAATGTTGATCCGCATTCTACGTCACGCCTCTTACAACAGCCGATCAGCCTGACGATGGCATCCCGCCGCAGTAAATCGATTCAAACGGGTTCAAAAAATCTTGGGCAGTTTTGCGGCCCTTGATAAAGAAATAATTCCGTACAACTCAATAACCTGAAAACAAACACATAGTACACTTCGTCAGGAGCAGCTCCTACAGACCGCGCAGGTTCCATGGACAAAAGCTCGCTGGATTGCTGCTTCTTGTGATGGCTGTGCTGTGGCTGTACTGGGTCAACTTCCACACCATCACATCAAAACGCTGGTCAGTGGCCCGATCAGTGGAAGCAGCACCAACAACCCCGATGTCACAGCCATCACACTGACATCCCCGGTCACAGTCGTCACGACCTGCTATCACATCCCCTCGAAAATGGACAAGACCGCGTACCTGCACTTCACGCGCAACTTCCTCCCGCATATCCCGGGCTTCTTGTAACATCTTCACCGACGCCGCATCCGCCGCGGAACTGCGGGCTTTACGCCCCACGCCAACCCAACCGCACCCGGCTGGTGATTCAGCCGCTGCAGGAACCCCACGAGTACGCCAAGTTGGACCGGTGCCGGCGGGTGTGACGATATGCCCTGCACATTCCTGTGCGGTCATATGACATCACGCTGACCGCATATTACATCATCATGCCGTCATGCACTCTGTCATTGGTTTGTCGCCGTCACTAGCCCCACCCATGGCAGCGGAGCCCATCCGGACCAGGACCATTATACTGTAGAGTAACCCTATACTTGACAGCCTTTTTGTACGACAGGAGCTATACTGCACCGTAGTACTGGCAAACGTTCAGTTGGCTCAGAGCCGACTGCACTGCACTCACATGTGCTGTCTGCCTAGTCACAGGCAGCACACATGAATGGTGAATGTGCTCGTACAGCGTACGTCTCTCTGAGCTATAAAAAAAGCTGTCAAGTGCAGGGTTACTCTACAGTATATAAAGCACCCCTCCACACCGTACCAGTCAGTAGTGCTGCAGTAGTCTACCAGCAGACTCTCAGTCGACTCTCAACCTACACATGGCTTACCTAGCATTAGTATTGCTATTGTGGGCATAGTGTTATATTGAATAAAGGTCACTGTCTTACGGGTGCGTTGTCTAATCGTTATAGGGACACATAGGTAACACATAAAAGTCATCGTCGACCTGCACAGATGTAGCACAGGTGCACTTACAGGAGAACTCTATACTGCGACACGGGTGAAGCAGGCCGATCCGGAGACCTACCCCACGTCCGAGCTGTACCTCATCTGAAACCAGAAATGGCGCTTCGTCCAGTGAGCTCTACAGGAGAACATTTTACCGCCCTGGGAGAGGTGGATCGAGCATATCTATGCGATGCAGGCATGGTATTTGGAGCGGGGGCTGAACGCGGGCAAGGACCCGAATGTGATGAATGCGGTGGCACTGCGCTATCCGCAGAATGTGCATATGATCCGCCCGAAGCCGTATTTTGACGGATTTGGAGATGTGTGGTTTTGTTTGCAGTACTATTTTTCTATACTGGACTGTTGAATACCGGTACTTATTTCCAGTTCCGTCAGTGCTTATAATTTATTCAGTTTTTGCTACACAACTGGTCAGATTGATCGTTTAATCATAGCTTCCATAAAACAACTGTTATCAGAATAGATCAATTCGGAACACGGTTGAATCGTTTATTTCACTAGCACAAATATGGACAAACGCATAAGGTCATTAATTATAATCGCTGTCCGATATTCTCAGGTGCAGCGTTGACATGCTTGCTGCCCGATTCGTTCAGGTACCACACTAACATGCGTCGTCGCTCCGACATACAGCCGGCACCAGGTGGCGCCACCCTCCGCAGGACCTTCACATTCCTCCAGATGCGAGCAGGCGTACGTCCCAGCGTCGGCCAGCTGCACACTATGAATCCACAGTTCGTCGTCGGGGAGGTGGCGCAGACCCAACACGTTGTTGTTGCAGTGGCCGGTGAAGGCGGGGATGTCGGCCGAACGCTGGAAGACGCGTTGTCCGTCCTTCGTCCAGTAGTAGACTAGCAGCAGGCGTGGCTCGTCTGGGCTGGTCTCCATGGCGATGCTGCGTGGGACCACTTCGAAAGGTCGACAGCTCAGGTGAAGGGTGTCACCTTCGACGACGGTTAGGTGCTTCGGAACCGCCAAACGATCTGCGGATGCCAAAACAATAATTTAATTACGTAGAATTACCGTAGTAAGGTAGTACTGCATGGAACCAGCGCGTACAAGCCGGTCCGGAGTTAGAGCACGATAGAGAACAGCTAACGCATAATAAGCGCGATGTTTGCGCTAAGCACGATGGCCACTAGCCCACTACACTGGTGGCTTGGTGCACGCCATATATTTAATGAGTATAATCGTAATTGCCTGGAGGAAGGTGGCTAGAAAAACAGTCGGTGCAGTAAGGGACAATCTAACTGCGGAGCGCATTTACGCATTGTGGTAGACGGTCAACCATAGACCATACTTTCACTGGAAAATGTACTTTAATTCACTTCTAAACCACGGCTAGGCAGGTAGGAAAAAAAGGGGAAATAGGCCGTTCGCTCTGCGGTTAATAACCTTAATGCATAAATCAACAAACAGTGTGTTATAAAAGAAAAAATCTAGTGCCCTACGATCGCCATGCGCCAGTATTTGAAGATTCTGAACCCCAAAGCGCTTGTCCGCGCATTTATCATAAAAACGAACCATCTACTTTATTGTCATACATTGTCTGTAAACAGTAAATCAGTAAATGTATACACGGGTTACTTATCTGTACGGCACAAAATATTGCAAGAAACTGCCAAGACAAAGAATTTCTCAATACATGAACCACAAGAGTGATAAGACGCATGTTTGTTTAGAACCTGTTATCCGTAATTCATAACCTTAGGAAGCACAACAAAATATGGCACCACAACTGCCGTGTATGTATAGTCTGTGGAATTAACGTGCACCCGATGGCATTTACGCACCTTTCGTCAATTCCGTGATCATGCAGTTGGTAAACTGCCCCGCAACGGTGTTGGCAGCACTGTCATCGCGGCTGACTATTTGGCACTTTGTCATTATCCCTCCGTAAAAATTCCAGTTGCAAGCGGGAAATGTTGTCGTTGCGGGGCACGCAGTGCTCCACGGCATCCTGACGACAATCTGCACGCTGATTATTACACACCAGTAAAGCAACATGTCAAATGGAGAAGATTTGCATACATTCACGGTTTTACTTACAAGGAAATTTAAACGTCAATGAAGCGTAGAAAATAACGGACAGTAACGCTTTACCAGAGAACAGAATGCTACTGGAGCGTTAGTTGCCAAGTTCGAACGTTGTATTCCCTGGACTGCATGCCATGCATTCCTGACGCTGTGAACAATGCCCAGCAGCTTGGCACTGCTTGGCTAACGAAACCATCTTTTCGAACTGCCTGATGACAAATCATGACATCTTCGTTGATCATTCGACACTTTACTCACCGGTCAAGTAACGCAGTAGTACGACAGCGCGGATTCGATTTAACGGTTTTGACGATGATAAACTTCTGACCCGCGCGACTAACCGAATACTTTATCGTTTTTGCACTTAATTCATCTGACTGAGGCGTTGAAAACAGAATAAATTGTACAAGTACATGTGTAGATTTGTATGTGTCCTATGAAACACCACCCCACCGTCTGCTCTCCCTTTTTAACACTCCTATGCTCGCGATCGTAATACGAACAAGTAGTTTACAGTTTCCGTATAGTTTACACTAATTATTTCTGTTAATGCGTGCATGGTCCGGTCGTAAAAGATGGATTGGGTGTATGCAGCGGCATTCTGGTGCGTGGTGGCGTTGGCGACCATCTTTCCTGTCCCGAACACGGAGGCGTGTACCCCTGCTTGCCCTAGCGAGGCGAGCTTGACAAGTGGAAAATGCGTCATAGAGAATTTTGCCTTCAGTAAGTACAAGTGCACTGTGTTACAGAAAAATGATTGAAATCTTATGCAGCATTAACAATCTGCTAGAATATTCTGGAGGTAATTTTTACGATCACTGTTAAACTGGTTTATGTCGGTAAGATGTGATCATGTGCATGCACATAGCTGCACGTAAATATGTGTAATTTTGAACCTCTGTGTACACACTGGGGTATATAATTCATTACACAAAATAATTTTTACAATATTTACTTAATTATTTCCGCTCTGGTTGTGGTCACTTTATTCGATCGCGAGCAATTAGGAGTGCTGAAAAGGGAGAACAGGCGGCGGGTAGTATTTTGCGTTTCACCCGATTCAGAGTTTCCGTTGTTTGTTTTATTTTCCATAAAAATTTACTGATGTTTACGTTCAAATTTAATGAGAGAAGTCGTTTTTTATAAAAATTAATGATCTCTGTGAACTTTGTTTTGTCAGGAACTTTAACAATCTGGTGACAGGAATATGAAACCATACACGCAGAGTGACCGGAATATGAGAAAAAGTACATGTCGAGTACATTAGAGTAGTTGTTGTGCATCCGCCAAAGATTCCGTATTCTTGCGATATTTGTGAACTCAAAAAAACTTTTAGCACTACACATGTTATGTAATATATGACTTACATGTACCGACAACAGAATAAATTGTACACTTGGTTTGCATGTGTCCTTAGAAACACCGGGCCTTTCCGTCTATAAACTTCTAAAATGAAATTTAACGGACCCTTGAAAAGTGTGGGGGTGGGGTGGGCTTGCTCAGCGAACTGCACATTTGACGGCTGGCTAAAGGCAGTGCGATGAGCAGCTATTCATGTGGTGGTCGCACCAATGATCGGTGACCGGAATATGAAACCATACACTCAAAGTGACCGGAATATGAGGAAAAGCGGAGTACTTATGTTACAGGCTTACAGCAGTTACACTAGTGTAACCACATCTGTAAGTCGTCATTTTTTATTGAGTTCAATGAGTTGGTTATTAGCTGAATTGTAAACATAACATTCAGAAACAACTGTAATTAAACGCAGTTCTTAATAATACAAAGTCTGTAGTCCAATGACTCTAATCAATCTATTGTTGCAGTCTTCTCTTGGGATATTACGCGCGAACTGGAAGTATCCGAAGGCTGCAACCTGGACCTTCCCTGCGTGCCCTTTCGCCGCAGCTCCACGTACCGGTACAATGCCGTTGACAAGAATACTTCGCCCGTTGCACTGTTAAGCAGTATCTGGCGCAAATACGGCCATCCGTACATTTGGACCCGAAACAGCAAAGTGCTGGACGACATACAGCGCAACGACCCGCGTGTGCAGACCCGAAACGATCGGCTCCAGATCAGTTCGGTTAAACGTACCGATTCCGGAGTGTATTTCTGCACGCATGATGGAGGCACGACGAGTGCCGCATCGAAGCGGTCAGTTCTTGTTAATTTCGGCCACCCTACTCGAGTGAAGGTCCAACCTCGGAAATCAGGTGAGTATTAGCAGTTTTGTTTGTGCTTCCGAGTAGCTTAGCCTATGTGTAACGAAGGGTTTTATTAAGAAGGCTGACCGTGCTGATACATTGTTTAGTCGATCGACTAGTTAGATGACTAGGATGACTCATGCATGGTCAGATGACTGTTAATCACAGTAACAGACTGTGACATATATAGCAAGACATAGAATATCAACCGACTAGCATGTAGGTAGAAGAGCTGGACAATTAGCTCAGCAGAATCGCTAAAGGCAAGAGTTACAGATACATTATGAATCGCATTACATATGCCGCCGCTGCTACTCCAGATCTACCTCTTCCGGACCCTGCGCCGCCAACTATTCCTCGGCAGTTCAGGGAACACTATTGCGTCTCCTGTATTACACCGGGCGACTGTGCGTACTGACCGCGCGGAGTGCAACACTGCCGTTGACCTTTAGCTGGTCGCTAGCGATCGCGCCGCAGTTCGGCGCGCTGCACATCGTCGTTACGGGATTGTTGCATTATGGCTTCGAAACGGGCCGGCAGAGTGCCGCTGATTTGATCGAAACCACCAACGAAACGGTGCGCAAACCGTCGCAGCGTATCTTCCGCTATGCCTCTCTACCGTTGATTTACTGTATCTTTTCGACTACGTGGACGAGCTCAGCTCCGATGATGAAACTGATCAACGATTTTCGGTGTTCTTCTCGGCGCTGCAGTTTAGTGAAAACGCTGTCTTGCCGTTAGTGTGACTGGCATTTGTGGAGCATTATTTCAGCGCTGTCGAGTGGCTGGTGACCGGAATATGATAGCTTCATCAGCCGTTGGTATATTTTTGTGCGGCTTTACTTTTAATCTGATGTAGCGATTGAAAACTTCTTTTCCGTTTCTTGGCTCGCAGTTCGTAATGATTCGAAATTTTGTAAGAAAATAAAATCACGCGGACCGCGACTACGAATCTTCGCAGTGCTGGACGCTTTAGATTTCATAGTCTTCTTTTAAAAGCCAATTCAGCAACAAGGGTTTTTGACTTCTTCACTGGTTAACCCAGCAACTACCAACTAAGCAGAAAGGCAACTAACAAAGAACACAGAAGTAACTGAGCAAAACATGAACAACTGGCGCTCTCCAAACAATTCTTGTCGCGGTGGATGTCGCCGTGACATGCAGCTGGAACGGCGGTCCGAGTCGGATCCGGCACGAGCCCTGGTAAGACTCATCACGGCAGTCCTCCGTAGCGATGCAAACGTACAAGCCGGCATCAGCGGAACTGGCGTCCTTGATGGACAAGATCGCGTCAACCTCCACGCGACAGGAACTGGCACGCTCACATTGCCGGCGCAGACGGCTCCCGTCCTTCGTCCAGTAATATCCGTGGTTGCGCTGGTACATCCACCGCTGGAAACTATCCAGCACCGGCTGCACGTACAAAGGCCATTCGTTATCGTACTCATGGAGGCTCACCAGAGGCTGGCACGTGCGGGTGATTGACTCGTGTTCCGATACCATCAGTTGCGAAATTTCTGCAGAATTTGTATACATTTCGGTAATACGAGTAACATCCAACGCTGAATTAATTACCCTAAACGTTGTCAAGCAGTACAGATACAATACACTCATTACTCACTGGAAGAGACATTCTCACTGAAGCATTTTCCACTTGTCAAACTGGCGTCTTCAGGGCATGTGGGCGCACATGCATTCGTGTACGGGTTAGAGAAGATGGCGGCAATAGCCGCCACACACCAAACCGCCCTTATACGCTGGTACACAGTTGATCGGTCCGAGTTCATGGTTTTGTTCATTCGCCAGAATAAGAACAACAACTAAGGGAAAAGTATGGGAAATACAAAGAGTTTTCCGAGACTGCAGATGCAGAATGCAATCCAAAAACTAGAGTATCCTGTAATGTGCAGCAGTAATCACCTCATCAAATCGTATTAAACCGATTTCGAATCGTGCACGGTGGCACTGTCGTAAGTATTGCTGACCGTCGAAAATGGAAGAGCATGGTATAAACAGGCATTTCGAAAAAGCATTGCATCAGCTATGCTTTGCTATGCAAGCGAAGAACAATGCCCCCGCTGCTTGGCAGTGTTCTCCGCTTTAGGAATGCACTGTGGCTGCATTCCAGCAAAGACGACGTTCGAATGTGACACATAATACCATGGTTGTCCGTAGCGCTATTTTTAGCAGTTAGGAGTGGGCAACTTGGCACTGCGCTCGGTTAACCATTTCTTTCCGTAACTGCTATCATAATAAGTGAGCGATTTCACTATTACGAAAAATTGACAGCCACGTGGATGCCGGTTCATGCAAAGTGTATGGAACTATAGGAGTTTCACGGTGCGAAGTGAGGCGGAACATTGAAGTTTGGCTTGTTGATTAACGGCTGTGGAAGTGCACCGCACTTGTGCACAAGTGCTTCGATGCACTCTTACGGCCGTTAATCAACGGACCCAGCGGGAAAGGATATTTTTCGACGCATTGCACCCATCTGGACGTTCAACATCCGTCCTGCTACACACATTTCTCGATTAAAAATTTGGGAAGCACACGCAGTTTTCACAGTCTGCAATCTGCGCCAACTGCAATGGACGCAAAGAGCTAGGTAGTTAGAGCTATTCTCCGCAGCCTGGCAGCTCGCAGTAGCATTGCTCTCGGTTCACCATTCCTGGCCCTGATTTCTCACGTAGCACATTATTTTTACGCTCCATCTCATCGGTGAATCGCCGTGTTTAAAAAGATGGTAACTTCACTACGTTTATCGGACTGTTTTATGCGCTCCGCTGTCAGATTGTCCCTTTAGCCTCGCAACCTCAGAATCCGTCGGATATCACCCGAATGTGCCGCGCAATTTCTGCGCGCTTTCTGCTCATTACAAACAGCGCGGAGACTCTGCGGAGCACCACCCTTGTGACACACTTATGTCTCGCAACCGATAATAACGACAGGACAAGCCTGGCTAACGGGTGTCCAGTGGTCCCAAAACGTCAAGTTACGCGATAACCTAATTGTGTGGGCACGGGACACCGGGGAGCCCATCTGCGTAAGACTGAATATAATACGTAGAATGGAATATGGATAGTATTGATAGAAAAGCAGTTGTCGGGATTTCATGGCAGAAGTGACAATGCCGGATTCATGCATCCAGGAAGCCGGAATGATGTAGGAGAGTTTCGCGGTCCAGAGTAAGGCGCAGCGCTGCCAGCGAGGGTCACGACGGGTACCGATGGACTTTTGCAACGGTCAATGACCGTTGTGGAGATGCATCGGGGCCCGTTAGACCGTCCCAGTGGGAAAGGATACTGTGTGGCGTAATGCAAAAACCAATTGGTTCAACATTCAATTTGTTCAAACGTCAATTAACGGGTTCAGACGGGTTCAACATCATTAACGAACGAAACGAAAATCTGTGCAACAGGCCTTCCTGTTGCACAGATTTTCGTTTCGTTCGTTAATGATGTTGAACCCGTCTGAACCCGTTAATTGACGTTTGCCTTAATCAAGCTGGCCTCCACTTCCAAATCAATATATGTACATTCTAAACGTACTGTACCGTTAAATGTCATCAGAGCTTTAGCTCACTTCATTTACGTAACATAATCACCGTGTGACGCACGTGTGTCACACTGACACAGTCAGACACGATGTTAGTTCGGATGATTCTAGCAGCCACGTCGTGGAAAAATTACCAACTGGCAAGGCAAATTTCCAGCTTTTTGTTTGCGGTTTCCGGGGTGACGAAGAAACATAATATTAGCTTTGGTGACCAAACATATAATGCATTCCTATGTAACCGACTAATGATTGTACGTACCGTTACGCCGACGAAATTGGACGCAAACCCGTTTTTGGACGTAAACCTCATCTTTTGTAGAAGCATTGAATAGTAATATGAATTACCCGGTTGATCAGGGTAAGTGCTTCTATAAATAAACCCGGTTTTAATAAGCGCAGCTGTGCTAACTTAATTATGCTGAATGGGTCGGGAGCTAGCGGATTCTTCGAAACAGCTCCAGTTGTCACTGGAGCTTTGACAACTTTAGCCATCTGAGTTTGTATTATTCGTACTAGTTAAGTGATGAAGTGGGTAGTCTACACAAAGCGACTAATCCATTGTAGGGGAAAATACATAACTGGCCAAACAAGGTAAAATTAAATTGTCGATTGATAGTCGCCAAGCAGTCCTTGTCGCGGTTGATGCCGGCATGACATCCAGCTGGAACGCCGGTCCTAATCGGATTCGGCACGATCCATGTTCCGAGGCGTTGCGGCAGTCTTCCGTGGCAATGCAGGCATACAAGCCGTTGTCCCCGGACTTGGCGTCTTTGATCAAGAGGACCGCGTCGGCCTCGATGCGGCACAGGTCAGTTTGCTCGCATTGCCGGCGCAAATGACGCCCGTTCTTCGTCCAGTAATATCCGCGGGCACGCTTGTAAATCCACCGCTGCGAACTGTCCAGCACCGGCTGCACATACCACGGCCATTCGTTATCGTGGTCCTGGAGGGTCTCCAGCGGTTTACAGGCGCGGGTGATAGACTCGTGCTCCAATATCACCTCATGTGGAATTTCTGCATGATACCGGTGAATTTGTTGTCCAAAAACGAGAAAATACGATAAGTATAAAGTATTGCTGTACGTACCGTCCGCCTCGTGCTCTATCCCGCAGTTCCATCGATCATCTTCCTGGTCTGAATTCTCACAGGACGGGTACAGATCAGGGGATTGCATGGAACAAGCAGCGACCCAGTAAGAATGCGCAAAGAGCATACGGACGATTAACACCGCAAATCGCAGTTGCAGGAAGTTTCTAACCAACATCTGTACAATCCAGTAGGAAGTAGGAACAGCTAGTAACGTGTGTCAGTTCCCGCAGGGATAGATCATAGAACGGCACTCCGCTGGATTGCTTACTGTACTGGATTCGTGATAACTCATCGTGCCATTTTGGCAACCATGGTAAGCCTGTGTGGTAAAAATTAATGCGCTGCTGAAGAAGTGAATACGAAAAGAGCGGAATAATTAGATATAATTAGGTACTGGCCATGGGAATTTCTTGCAGCCTAATGCTGGCGAAAGACATACTGGTAATACTGATAAACCGCCACTCCGCCTCATATTAACAGTTACTGTAATATTAATAACTCGTCGAATAGTATCGGCGAGATGAACGACCTTTTTTCCTGGAAGCAGAATGCTTATATACAAGCTTACTTCATTTCTACTATTCAAAGGTAACACCGTAACCCTCAAAAATCAACAAGCATGAAACAATCATCCGCGGCAGATACACCCCAATCACAACAAGAAAAACTCTTCTATACTGTCCTGCTCGGGAATCGTGCCCATAACGCATATCGCATTCCCGCGCTGTATCTGTATAGACAAACGCTGCCGAAAAAACTCTTTGGCGCGTTTCTGGCCAGTGGCAGATATTAGGCAGCTTCCAACCTTGTCCGCAAGTTTCTTAGTGCCACCGCTCTTAGTGCCGATGCTTATATATGCATCAGGCAATGCCTTCCCAATTCAAACCAAGTCGTGATTCGATCAGTGATGGGTGGCTACGAACAGCGCGTTGCTGTGCAACCAGAAGTGTGTAGTTATAACATTTATTTCCAACGTTAATTGGGATGTTCTTTTTACGCACTACTGTTCTTCTAATTCGTAAAAACTGACGGGGTCATTTTGTAGCCGGTCTGCTTATCCAAATCCAACCATAAGTTGCAGTCTCACCGTGCATCATACAGATCCCGTTATACCCGTCACACCCTACCGTACAGCTGACCTTCGCCGAGTCCAGAAAATACAAAAACAACGAGCTTCCCTGTTTTACGTCTATGGCGAATACAACGAACGATTGGCGGATTAGAAAGTTTAGTAAAGGAGATTACAATAATTATTATGGTAAGACAGGAAAGAGCGCTGTGTTGAAAACCAGGAATTGCAATGTGCTGCACGTGCGGCACATTCTAACCTTTGTGAGGTGCGCAAAATGCAAAGTATCCACTATCCAGTGTTACAAGTATAAGTAGTATTTGTGTGCGATGAGCTAATAATTCGCCGGTGCTGCATAACTTATATGATAATCCCAGGCTGTTACTCACGGACAAACGTGATAAGAAACGAACATGCTAACCTGCGACAGAAGTCAACGACTTTCCCAATAATGTTGACACTTTAATCAGGACCGCGCACGATTCATGCGATAACGCTTATCTGCATCAGTGTGATTACTGTTAAAGTCTGAACAGTGAAAACTACTCAGTAGGCCAACTGTACAACGGTACACGGCAGCCTAAAACACAGACACTGTACCAACGCTCTAATTTGAAGTTCCGGACCCTCAGTCTCTTAACTACTTCCTGGTTTTCGTTGAAACCGTGTATACACGGACAGTACCATGTCCAGCGAATCGGCCGACGCCATTGGTACCGGACTATCGTCCACCTTCTCCTCCATGGCCCGTCTCTCCGGGGAGATCCGCTCCCGCACCTCTTCCAGCAGCAGCATCCTCCCACCCCCTTCCTCCCCTAAACCGCCTCCGCGGCCCCTCCCGCGGGACTCTCTCCTCCTTAACAACGCTCCCGACGCCGCCCGTCGCTACTTCATGGATCACGATAACCGCGGGATCGCCGTCATCATCAACAATCAGTCATTTGATAAATCGTTGAACTTATCGAAACGGGTGGGGTCCAGTGTGGATGCGGTGGCGCTGGAGGATGCCTTCCGGACGCTGCGTTTTATCAGCACCAATATACATTGTTACACGGACGTGTCGTGTCGGAATATGTTGAAGCTGATGCAGCATTACGCGACGACGGATTTCACCGATATGGATTGTTTTGTTTGTGCGATATTGAGCCATGGGAAGGATGGAGGGATTGTGTATGGGTATGATGGGAAGATCTCCATTGATTCTCTGATGGAGCCGTTTAAGAAGAAAATGCACGCTAGTCTGGTACGTTTTACTTTACTTTACTTTACTTTACTTTACTTTACTTTACTTTACTTTACTTTACTTTACTTTACTTTACTTTACTTTACTTTACTTTACTTTAATTCAATTAATTTGGCCATCAATTAACGATAATATCTAAACTAGCATTTAGTAAAAATAAATGTAGTCAAATCAAAATAAACATAAATTTGATAATTTTAATTTAACCCAATAAAAAAATTAGCTTTTCAAACGGATAGTTTATGTATTTAGGTGGGAAAGCCTAAAGTCTTCCTTGTTCAAGCATGTCGCGGTGAGACGTTCGATGACGGCCGCGACTTGACCCAATCGGACGACGGCGAACATGTGCAGCGTATCCCGCTGGAAGCCGACTTTCTCTACGCATACTCCACGGTCCCGGGGTACTACGCGTGGCGCAACGCCATGAACGGCTCCTGGTTCATCCAGGCCATTGTGAAGAATATCCAAACGCACAAGCGCAACGCGGAGATGGACCTGCTGAAGCTGCTGACCCGAGTCAACTACGACGTGGCCTACCAGTACCAGTCCAATGCGCCCGATGATCCGCGGATGCACGCCAAGAAACAGATGCCCAGTGTGGTGTCCATGCTCACCAAAGATTTGTGTTTCTTTCGCTCATGATTTCGACATTTCGACATCAAAGAAAGATAAAAATTCTGTGATAAATATTCAGTTTTTTTTTGCTTTACTAATTTAATTTTTTCTCATACTGCGCTTATTGTAGCCATGAAAGGGTTAACACCAATCATGTTTCGACGTGACAATTCAAAAACTGCGTTGTGGGCAACCACCACCGGGCGTGGATTTATAATTTGCCCACTGTCCACAGCGAATGCAATACAGAAATCAGATGCCGTCCATCGCCATACAATTGTGTTTCTTTCGCTCGTAATTTAAAATTCAATCAGAGATGGAAATTCTATGATAAGTACTCAATTTTGTGTCAATTCTGTGACTTCTGCTCATACAGTATTCCATCCAAAATAAACTTGACATGAATTTGATAAAAATCATATTTCGACATGAAAATTAATCAGATCTGTGAAATGGGCAACCACCGCCGGACGTAAGTCATACAATAATCTACAACGATGCACGCCTCACAAAATCCAGTTTCCCTATCCGCCCATCGTTGTAATCCAATTACCAGCTGCTGTCTGCTGCGCCCACCAATTTTTCCAAACCCGCACATTTTTCTGCATCGTTTTGTTGTCAATGTTGTGTTTGAATTTTTTCTACTTTGAATGATGTTCTGTGCGCACAGCTAATCCAGGAATTTTTTCCCCTTGATCCACAGCGTGTCTTCCCTGTTGCTCAACCGTGTTATGCACGGTACTCCCCCGTCAGCATCATGGTGTTGGAGGGACTGTTAGCGGAACTGCTCAACCGCTACATCGGGGATTATGTGGAGAATCTCGACCCGAAGCAGCTCAACCTGGGCATTTGGGGCGGTAAGGGATAATCCGGGAAGGGGGACGGTGAGCCGGGAATTATAATCTTGCCTTACAGGGGATGTCAAGCTCCACAATCTGCAGATCAAACCCGGCGCACTCGATGATCTGGATCTGCCGTTCAAAATCACCCACGGACGCCTCCGTACGGCGCACTGTCTTTCTTTTGACATTTGCGCTGGGATGGGAATTGATGGGCTGATTATTTTCAGGGAGTCTGGTGCTGAAAATCCCCTGGAAGAATTTGTACAAGCAGCCTGTTGTCGTGACTGTCAGCGGGCTGCATTTGGTGGCGATTCCCAATATTGGTAAGAAAAAACTATGCGCAGAGTGCGCAGGTGTCTGTATGTCCGCAGCACGGTGCGCATAAGCGATACTGGGAGCTCTGAGCATCGCACTAATGTTTTTATTCATATTTTTATTTTTGATGTTGTTGATGGTTTCTTTAGTGTGCGCTAGTTGCGTGGTCCTTATTGAAAATTTGTTTTTTTGTAGGACTAAAGTACAATAAAGAGAAGGAGGAAAAGGAAGCCGTTGAAGCGAAGCAACGCGAATTGAGACGGTTGGAAGATGCGAAGAAACTCCACAAAAATGCGGGCGAAAGTAAGCGAATATTTTAGTTATTATTTTAATTTCTCGTATTTATTTTTTAAAATTCAGTGCGTTCGATAAAATTGTTTTACGAATTTTTCCTACGGGAATAAAAAGATTCCGCGTCGAATGTGCGGTTTTGATGGGTTTTTAGGATTTGTTTGCACTTTGCAGTTTAATATTTAAAATATGTAATTAAAATAAAACGATTTTAGAATTGCACTTTAATTGGTATTTATCAATATTGGTTTTTAGTTTTTTAGGGAAAAGTTAAATTAATTTATACGTGCGTATCTTAATTTAATGAGATAATACGCCTACCGGTGGGCACAGTGTTGCGATAGGGAAATTGCTGATTATTAGTCTAAATTCCGCACATGCCGCTGCGATAGCCAAATGGAATTCAGCATCAGGGTGTTTTTCTGCTTTAAGTGGCGATTTTGCCAGAGGACAAAAGCAGCTGTCAGAATGTAATTTGATAAGCTGGCCCACCTGTACCTGCCAGACTGATATTTATGCATTTGCTCATTGTGCTGAATTTTCCGACTGATTAATCATCCCGGTTGTGGAGACATGAATCATCGGAATATTATTTATTTATTTTTTTGTCTGTCTACTTTTTTTGCGCAGTGCATTATTGGCGCAACCCTGAATTACATTTCGCTTATGGAGGCAGTAAAAAATTACCGCGGTAATTTGTAAAAACAATAAAACAAATAACAACAAAAACTAAATAATAAATCATACACCAATAGTCAAAAATAATAATAATAATAATCGCGCTGGTAATTTATAAAATAAATTATAGCAAATTTTTCATAAATCAGTGAAAAAAAATGAATAATAATAATTGCGGTGGGAATTTATAGAATAGTTTATACGAATGGAACTAATTAGAAAATTCATTGGCAAGAATTTATTGGGAAATTAATTGTAAATTAAATAAAACCACATACAATAATCGCCAACTTATTAGAATTTAATATTCATTTTTTTGGTGTAGCGCCGGCGCAGCAGGACTCCTTCGTGGAGAAGATGGCCACGGTGGTTATTAAGAATTTGCAGGTGGATATTAGTGATATTCATATCCGTTTTGAGGATAAAGTCTCCAGTCCGTCCACGCCGTTTGCGGCTGGCATTACGCTGAAAAAGCTCAGCTTTTTGGTGAGAATTTATCCCAGTATTGGCAGAAATTCTGGACACCACTGTTTAACGCTTTATTATGCAGACAACGAACGAAAACTGGCTGGATGAAGCCGTGGCTGATGCCAGCAAATTCGTCTACAAGGTGAGGACATGTTCGTTTATCATGTCAAATTGTCGGAAATTTGTTCTGTTTGGTTTTGATTTTAGACTGATTTACAACCAATGAGAAAACAGATAAAAACCGGTTTTCTTTTGTAAACAAATTTTCTGTCATTTTTTTATTTAACGTGTTACATTGAAATTAATTTTTAATATTATATTTGTTGTTTTAGCAGTTACCGTTTTTTTTAAATTTCGTGTAATGATGTGCTGTCTGCTGGCAAAGTATGATGAGTGATTACGTAGTACGATGGCATTTCAGTCCCGCTTTACTCAAAGGCTCTAAGCCAGAATTTACGGTGGTCTGACGGATGGTAGTTTAATTAATATTGCAGTAAAACCAGTTAAACATTTTTCTGTCACGTACCTTTTTGCACAAGGGCAAATTCTAATTTGTAGATTAATAATTTTACAAATTATTATTTGTTAATTGTTAATTAATTTGCAAATTATTGATTAATTGTTTACTATTTATTTGTGGATTATTAATTATATGTAAATCAACATTGTATTATTAATTAATTTGGAGATTATTAATTTGTAGATTATTAATCTGGAAGCGCTGTCAGTTTACTGGAGCCCGGAAATGCGCGAATCCCTCAACGACATGGACGACGCCAACCGGGAAGCGGCCTTCACCGCCAACATCGCCGGCAAAGACAACCGGCCCAACCTCGCTTACGGTAGCACCGCTTTCCTTATTTCCACGAAATTTAAATACCAAAATTATCTTTTTCAACGCATTATCGGTACTGCCTGGTAAAATGTGATAAAAAGCGTCATGTTGACATAGTTTTGGAGCCGATTCATCTGACGTGCAACCTCCGACTGAACCCCAAACCGGAACACGACGGCACCAACTACCAGATCCCCAAGATTGATTTGAAGCTCATGCTGGAATCGCTGGCGCTGACGCTCACGCGCAAACAGGTTGAGTGGGACAACGGGAAATTTGTTATGCGATTTTTTGAATTTTATAAACCGGTTTTGTACAGTATGAGGGGATTGTGTTGTTTGCGGATGCCCTGGACACCGTGACATTGAAATCCAAATACCGGAAGTACGATCCGCCGGAGCATCCGATTGTCTACAAACGGAACGCTCGTGAATGGTGCGTCGATTCGATTATTTTTTTTTCGTGATTTTTTCCGACCATACTGGGTTTTTTTGTGATTTTATTTTATCGCTTTACTTTAAAATAATTTTTTCCGAAAACACCTTATTGCTTATTTTAGCAGTTTGTATTTTCGTTAAGTTTTGTCGTATTTTATTTTGAAATTTTGATGCGAATGCGTTTATATCTCGAGTGGGAAAATTTCGAATTTTGTTTTTATTTTACAGTATTTTAAATAGCTGTATTTTATTTTCAGATTTTTAATGATAATTTTTAATAAATAACAATTATCATTGACTGTTTAAGCGGGTTTGAAAAATTTTCGCTTTGTAACAATTTTCTATGTAGAGTCTACAAGAAAATTTTGATACTCGATCAGAAAACCGGAAATTCATATTTCCTTTCATCTTAAATATGTTATATGTAATTGTGAAAAATAATAATTTTCATGAATAATTACAGTAACAGCAATAATTATTTGAACGATTTTTATCTATTTTTTGCTTTGTATCAGTTTTCTTCGTAGTGTCAGTGAAACTTATTTTATATTAAGACGAGTAAATTCGAGGTTTTGTGGTTTTTTTTACATTTTAAATTTCTGTTTGTATTTTTATTAATTATATATTATTCGCTGATCAAAAGTGTTTTAAACGTTGTGGCGTTGTTTTTGGCGGCGTGTAGGTGGAATTACGCGCAGCGGTGCGTACTGGAGGCGGACGTGAAGCCGCGGCTGGAGGGCTGGGTGTGGGCGCACATCAAGAACCACCGCGACAAACTGCGCAAGTACCGCCGACTGTACACGCAGAAACTGATCACGGCCAAACCGGCGGCGGCGCTGCTGAGCGACATCGAGGCCATGGAGCGCGACCTGACCATCTTCAACATTGTCCTCATGCGCCAGCAGGCCGAGCTGGACGCCAAGAAGCTCAAGCCGGCGCAGCAGGAGCAGAACACCGGCTGGTGGGGCTGGATGACCGGCAAGGGCAAACAACCCCAGGTACGTCCTTTGAAGGCGGGGAAAACGTAATTGTTCTTCTTTTATTATTACTAGTATAGTATTGTAAGTAGTAAGTGCTAATTAATCGTGTTACTACATCCTGTCACTCGTAGACGATCTATTACTGATGGAATGTTTGAACTGTGAAGTAGTGTCATATGTTAGCGGAGCGTTTGCGTAGTGCAGTGGCAATTGTGAGTCCCCGGAAGCGTTCTCATACAGCCAGTTTAGCCATGTATCCCATTAAATTTCACATAATGTCAATAAGTTTATATTACGAGTTTATATTATCGTATAATCAACAAATTTTTTAGATAACCGAGTGATAATCCTATCGATTTGTCATTTGCCGTATAAAAATTTTTCTTTTTCGATAATCCGCTGTTTTCTGCGTTGGAGTTGCCATTGCACTGGTTGGCTTTCGCCACAGTTTTCGTCACTGCAGTCTGCAGGTGACCGTGTGTGTTTTCTCTTAAAATCGCATCGATGTGGGACAATACTATCCGTGTTGAAAAATACCTTTTGAACTGCAGCTGAGCGACACGGAGCTGGAGAAGAAGTTGGCGGACATCATGACGCCGGAGGAGAAGAAGAAGCTGTACGAGGCCATTGACTACAAGGAGGGCGCGCCCATCATGATGTACCCGGCCTCCTTCGTGGAGAACCGCTTCGACGTCAAACTGGCCACGCTGGCCGTCTCCATCGTCGAGGACAGCAAGGGGCCCGCCAAGGACTCGCTGCTGGTGCTGGCGCTGAATAATGTCGCCAGCCGCATCGAGCAGCGCCCCTCCGCCGGCGGATTAAAGGTCAAAGCGGTTATACAGGACCTGGCGGCGCTCGGTAAGCGAAATTCGTACTTTCTTTTTCGACCATCAGCGGAAAAATAAAAATCATAAAAAAATATGACACCGCATGTAGTGAAAATGTTTACGAAATAAAAATCTGTACAGATAGTGCTTAGTTAAATAAAATGTGTTGATTAAATGCGTGGCATTCACAAGTATCTGTCCTATACGCGAATGAACGGGTACTTGTGCTGTGAAAGTTACTGAATAAATTAACTAACTCACAGATAAATAGAAAATTAAACGTTTATTAAAAAATAGATGAACAGAGTAAACAAGATAATCAGAATTACAGAATTCCATTCATTAGCGGTATTTATGATAATAAATAGCCGTTTATTTTGGAGGAATTAGTGTGGTGAAAGGTTTTAATTAACGTGTGAAAGTTTAAAAAACATTAATCGGTTGAAAGATATTTTTAAAAAATTTTCAAAACTCGTCATAGAAACATACAAATTAATGCGATGTTTTTATTTATATTTTTTCATGAAATGACTGCGCTTTTCAGGAGTGCCGCGCGACGGTACCCGGCCGGAGATCATGGTACCCGCTGGGCGGGACGAAGGCGGCAAGGAGCACCTGCTGGATGTGCTATTCGAAACCAAGCCGGAGGATTCGCAGCGGGAATACCGCGTCAAACTGGCCGCGGCGCCCGTACGGGTTATCTACGACGCGGAAACCATCAACCATGTCGCCAACTTCTTCAAACCGCCCAAATCGCTGCAGCTGAAACAGCTGCAGGTGGCCGCGGCGGCCAAATTCCAGGAGCTGCGTGAATCATCCACCGCAGGTCAGAATATGAAAAACCTGTTGCAAGTTGCAACACACAAAATAACAACCAAAAAGGTTCTAAAAATTTGTTGTTGTACTGTAGTTGTAATTGTCGCTTTTTTTAAATTTACCTCAAAATAAATTGCAAAGCAAATTGGATCGTAGAAATAATGGGGACATTTTTTTGTACAGTTACTTATTTTATTTAAGTTTATGTTGTTGTATTTCATTTAGGAAATGACGTAAAAACATGTTCTTTACTTTATCGTTATAAATGATTTCTTTATTTTATTATTTTTCTGTTTATTTAGTTTTATTTTTAATGATTTATATTTCATACGTTGGGCAGAAATAACTAATTACAGGCTTAAGCGGTAAAAAAACAGATGAACAAATAAAAAAAAATGTCTAGACGAAATTGAAATCGATTTTGGTTTATTTTAAAGTTTTGCTTTCAATTTTTTGCGATTTTGGATGTTTTTTTAATGTTTAAAAATTTGATGCTTTTAATTAGTGTAAACCTGCGCAGGCGATTTATTATGTATGCTGGCCGAAGCCGAATAAAAACAGTATTTTTTGCGTGTTTAGGATTGCGTTTCGCACTGGAGACGCACAAAGAAATTGACGTGGACATCCACCTGAATGCGTCGTACCTGATCGTCCCGGAGACGGGCGTGTACAGTGAGAACGGGTGCAAATTGATCGTGGATTTTGGTGACATGCACATGCGCAACATCGACGTGCCGGATCGGGTGTTGAAGCGCGGAGAAGAGGATCTAATGAAGCTGGAGGAGTCGCTGTACGACAAGTACTCGCTGGCGCTGCAGAACATCCAGATCATCTTCGCCCAGGGCGCCGAGAACTGGCAGGCGGCGCGCCGGGCCGATAGGCAGACGCCCATGCATTTACTGCAGCCGTTGAGCTGCGGATTGGAATTACATCAGTGTATCCTGCAGAACGATCCCAACCGGCCCATGCTCCGCGTCATCGGTACGATTAAAACCATTTTATGCGAGAAATTCGTGTTTTACACAGGTTAAACAAATTTTCATATAGTTCGTGAAGTAACATAAAATAGCGTCATAAATAAATAAAATAGTAATATACTAAATTAACGTAATTAATATTGAATTTTGTATTGTACAGAAAACCTGCAGTTGCAGTTAGAATCTCGGTAATAACCTGTAAATCTCGGGAATCTGTAATAACTGATTTTTTGCAAACAATAATTTTAAATGAGCGAAATTCCACAGAATTTTCATTTAATTACTTCCGGCATCGAACTTCAGTGTATTGTGGTGTTGCAGTAAAAACATTCTATGGTCTTCTTTTACTGCAGTATAAAAAATTTTGCTTTTAATTCGCTACGCGCTGATTGAAATTGAATACAGGCTCCTTAAACCACAATGGACTCGGCAATGCCGTTGTACTACACAGCTACTACAGAATGCTTTTTTTGCTGCCACGAAATCGCTTCCAGCTTTAAACTGCACACGAAAATCCTACAAAAATCTTAATCTACATTGCTGATTTAACGCAGCAGAGTTTTAGTTTTTTCTACGATATTCTAGGTGAATTGCCGAGCATCGCGGTGAGTTTAACCGACGAGCGGCTGCTGCAATTATGCCGGCTGGGCTTGAGTATCCCCCTGCCGGAATCGGCGCCGGTGGAGCAGGAGACGGTGACCAATAAGGAAGTATTTAAAAAAGAGTTGCAGCGGGAAGCGCGCAGTATGGCTCGTTCCAATAAGGATTTACAAGCGGCGCAGAAGCTGTTCGATGATGACAGTCCCGATGAGGGCATCGCGTCGGCCTCCGATGAGGACGAGGAGAGCCAGGAGGTCTTCTTCGACGCGGTGGACAGTGAGACGCCGCGGAAACGCCGGCGGTCCACCAAGACCAGCACGCGCTTTAAAGCCGTCGACGCCAACTTCACGTCCACGCAGGTAAATTCCGCGTTAAGCGGAAATTTGGTGGCTGCAGCTGGGAAAAACGGTAGAAAATTAAGAAATGAATTGTAGTAATCAGGATAAAGAAGTATTCGCAGTTAAATAAATGGGAAAATCGTCAGGGAATTTATGCTGAGTTGGAAAGTTTTTTTTTCTTTAAACTGAGATAAGGACAGACCTGCCAGAATGCGAACAGTAAAATATAAAAAATTTGCATTGTGGGAAATTGTTTTGCCTCATTGCGCAGTGGGTTAAGTTTTGATTGACTGATGTGCGGTTACGTAGTGTTGTGGCTTTGTATGACCGTTTCCCTCCCCTATACCATGGCTGTATAATGTATTATACGTTTGGTCATGTTTGTTAATCTGATTTTTATGATACTTTTTTGAAAATAATTTTTCGAATAGAACATAAAAACACGAAGAAAATAGGTGCGAAATTGGTTAGAACGTCCGCAACAGAGAAATTCTGAGCCAATTTTTAATAGAAAATGCAAAGAAATACAGCTCCTAAACTTTTATTTAATTTAATTTCCCGCTTCGCTTCGGTCTTTCGGTGCTAGCCAGCAGCCGTGCACTTTCCTAGTAATATAATTTATTAGTAATATAATTTTAATAGTAGTATTATAATTTTAATCGAATACAATCAGAGTTCGTAAGGACAGTCGAAGAAATGAAAAGTTAAATTGGAATTGACGATTTTGTAATTATTATCATTATTTTTAATCGAATAAAATCAGAATTAATTGGCAGAATTAAAGAAAAGAATAGCTGAACTGAAATTTAATGATAAGTCACTTATTCATTACAAGATTATGGTGTTAAGAAGTCAATCGAATAAAATCAGAATTTGTAAGAAAAACCGAAGAAATTCTCAGCTGAACTGCAATTAATGCTAAATCTGATTGAAGAAAATCAGAACTGCGTAATAAGGAAACTTGAAGAAATTAGCACTTGACCTTTAACTGGGTATTAAATAACAGATAAAAATATTTGACTGTCTGCAGTTCAGGTTGATGGTAGACTGGAAATGATGAATTTATTAAATTAAAAATTAAATTATTAAAAGTTAAAGTCATGTTAATTTTTATCCGTAGATTCGGTTTGAGTTGAACGAGATTTCGTTGAGTATTCACCGCGGGAAGAGCGAAGTGCCGATGCTGAAGTGCGTGTTGTCCACCATCATCACCGAGGTGTTCGTGCGCACCTTCGACATGGAGCTGGGGCTGGCGCTGGCCAACGTCAGCGTCGACTATTGTCGGCAGTCCACCGGCGAGATCATCAAGATGCTGCGCCGGCATCAGGGTGATGACGAGAACGCCAAGGGCGTCCTGCTCCGCCTCGACTACCGCAGTGCCAAATCCAATGCACCGAATTTCGAAGAAACATACGGTGCGTTCGCAGCTCAATAATTTATTAATGAAATTTAGCAAAAGGTTAGAAACATACATTTTGTACAAATATTAACTGGATAAAATTATCAAAAAAATGGAATGAATGTGGGATTATTTTAGAAAAGGATTGAAATTATTCAAAGTTAAAAAACTGGATAAAATTATCTAAAAAATGGATTAATTGAGGATTATTTTTGAAGGAAATGAAATTATTGGGAATTAAAGGAATTTAAAAAACTGAAATAAAATTATCCAGAAAATGGAATGAATTGGGGTTATTTTTAGAAAAGGTTTAAAATTATTTAGAACTAACAAATCTCATTGATGGCTGTTTTTTCCGTTACAGGAAAGACGCTGACGCGTTTGGGCGCGGATTTTGTGGGATTGGATGTGATAATGGACCGCGAGGGATTAATTGAGATTAAGCAGTTTGCCAATGAGATGCAGGAGGAATTGGCGGCGCTGATGCCGGCCAAAGAAGGCCCAGTGGTCTCCGCCGTCGACCAGCCCGATCAGAAAGAGGATCATACCATTATGATTTCCACAAAAACTTCCGGTAAATATTTTCTCATGCATCTCTAAAGAGATTTTAGAAATTCTGTAATTAACAGGATTTACTTTCTTACTGTAAAATAATTTCTTTTTATTGAAAGAAGGCGTACAATAAAATATTAGAAAAGGAAAACTGCTGAACTATAAATTTTCTAATTTAAAAAAAAAACATTTCCCATGAAAAAAATGGAAAAAATATTGTGGGAAGTGCTGGAAAGAAAGAATAATTGTCATTTATCTGTTGATATTTAATAAATGCAGATATTATTATGATGGACATCCACGCCCGGCTGCACACGCTGAGCGTGACGCTGCTGACCGGTCGGCGGGAGCTGGCGTACTGCGCCCTGGAGGAGATCTCGGCGCACGTGCTGCAGGACAAGGAGAAGATGACGGTGGACGCGCAACTGAAGCGCATCAAGATCGACTACCCCCTCCCGGGCGGCATGTACCCCCACGTGGTCCACACCCTGTCCGACGAGGTCCTGTCCGTGCACTACGTCGGCTACAGCAATCCCGCCATCAAGACCGACGTCAACTCCCACGATATGGCCGTCAACCTCAGTTTGGGCGCTATCCAGATTATTTTCCTCAATAAGTAAGTGACATCACAGAAAAACAGCCGCACTGCCCATTCTGCTTTGTGAATTATAATTACGCAGCAGGGGGAATAATGGTATATTTATTTCTGTTTTAAAGGGACAAGTTCCATTTTACATCGAGGTTAATGCAATTTTTACCGGTAAAGTTATTTTTTTGAAATTTGTTTTCTTTTATAGTATGTGATTTTTTCTGTTTCAATTATTTTTTTATGTCAAGTTTCTTTATTTTTGTTAGGGTATTTTTGTGTTTTGCTTCCTCAACTTTTTTTTCAGGATTTAATCGGTGATTTATTGTTGACCTGCCGAAAGGTTTGCGATTTTGACTCTTTTAATTTCTGTATTTTGTTTTAATTTTCCTGCTGATTTTTGTTCTTATCGTAGATTTACTATTAGATTTATATAGTTTAAGTTTTGATTTAATAGATGTTTTTTACTGATTTTACGTATGGTTCGTAGTTTTTAGTTCTAGCGGTTCTCAGGTTCGCGTCGCTTTTCTTTTCCGATTTATTCCAGCTTTTTCCTCTACAAAATAGTTACAAAAATCGACTTCTGCTAACTTGCGTCCCGATTATCTTCCCCGATTAATTTGTAAATTTTGATTTAGGAAAATCAGTTTATTAATTTAGGAAAATCGTTTTTTATGGAAAACAGTTCAGGGATTTGATATAAATTTATAACATCCTAACATTCTACGAGAAATGATTCCATAAAAAGAATTTCACTAACCGGCGGGACGAAAAAAATCTTTTCACAAATTCACAATTTCGTCTTTTTAACGGGACGCTTCACCAGCAGAATGTTTTGTGAAAGCCACATTACTACGATTATTCAATACTTTGCACGACACCAGAATCAGCCAGATTTGCTCTGATTTTCTGCGAAACCGAAATTATCGTGAATTTCGGCCGATGTGAAATTCGATCAAATGTGTATATTCATTGTTAAAATATAATTAATTAGATACTTATCAAATATGATATATTAATGTAGGTTTGTGGCGGAAATCCTGGACTTCCTGTCCAGCTTCCAGACGGCCCAAGCCAGGCTGGTGGAAGTGACGTCGGCGGCGACGCAATCCGCGGTGCAATCAGTGCAGACCGCCTACACGGACGCCATCCGCATTAAAATGGATATTAAAATCAAAGCGCCCATCATCGTCATGCCGCAGCACTCGCGCAGCGGCAACGCCATCCTCGTCGATCTGGGCACGCTGCTCCTCTCCAACTCCTTCCAGCTGACCCCGGAAAAGGCCATCATGGACCATATGAAGATCGACTTCTCCGCCGTCAAACTCAGCCGGTACGGGCGCATGTTGTATCGTCTTTGCAGTTTTTAAATACTAGAGTAGTTCAAATTACACATTTTCTAAATGGTATTAATGTATTGCTGACGTAGTGTAGTGGCTTTGCATGTTACGTAATCCGCTCCGCAAAATACACTTTATGCAGAATTGCCTAATTTGTCATTGAATAGTTGAATTGCATTTGTTCATCTTCTGTAGCCTGTACTACATATATGCAGTCCTTTTTGTAAATTGCAGTGTGGCGAGCAGCAGCGTATAGTTTATACCGAATTTTTCCGAACCAGTATCTTTAATTTTTAAGGGTATTTTTTACAAATTTTAAATTAGTTTTTCCAGACATTTTTGTAAATTGCAGTTTGGTGTTCGGTGAGCAGCAGCGCGTAGTAAAAGAAATCAGCTTACTCAGCCAGCCACAACCCATGGAGCTCTCCATCGTCCGCAATTTAAGCGGTCTATGGTTCAGCGGCGCCCCCGACATCACCGTGACGGGCGGGCTGAAATCCCTGGAGCTGCGTTTAAGCAAATTCGACTACGCCGTCCTCATGGCCATCCTGGCCGAGAACTTTGCCGAAGCCGGCAGCCCCACCCCTCCACCCCCTCCGCCGATTCGCGCCGGGATGCTGGCCCCGGGGGCGGAGTCGTCCATCCCGCCGCCCAAATCCCCACAGGTCAAACGCGAACCGGCGTCGACGGGGCAATCAGCGTCGCAGCCGAAACTGACGAAGATCAAGGTGGCGTTCAGTATTGGGAATATCTCCGCCATGCTGTATTTGAAGGAGCTGCCGGATGTGAAGGAGGAGCGCGTGACGGAGGCGTTGTGCGGCGCGGCGATCAGCGAGATGCGGGCGTTTGTGGAGATGTTCAGTGATAATTCCATGACCGTCACGGCGACGTTGGGGAATATTGTTCTGGATGATTTACGGCAAGTCACGAAATCTTTGTTTTTATTAATTTTGTTCCTATGAATTTTGAATTTTGTTTTCGAATTGCTGTACATTTTTGAATTATTTTGATTTTTTTTATTTCGAATCTTTTCTTTTGAATCTTATTTGTGAATTTCTTCATACGTAGTTTGCTTAATTTATTGTTATTTATTGCGGTATAAGATAAGTAGGGCGCACTATAACGTGAGCTAATGTACAAAAGTGTAGTACAAGGGAGATTATACACATAGTACAGGATTTTCTTATACCATTTTCTTGCACTTAGACTTTGCTCATGAATTTAATTGTTAATTTAGTTTTGTGTTAGTGTTTTTTTTTAAATTTAAATGATTTTCGAATTTGTGATTCTGAATTTATTTCTGATTTATTTATGCGTATTTAATCACGAATTTATATACCTCACTAAAATCATGTGGAAAATTAATTTGGTCGTGATTCGTGAATATGAGAGTCGTCGTGTTGGTGATTAATTTGAGTTTAATTTTCACAAGTTTTCTTATAAATATGACAGGAACCAATTCTGTGAAATAATTTACCGTACTTCAAATTAAAGTTAAAGGTGTACCCATTTATTCCCGAATACTGGTGTGTAATGGTTCAAAATTAGTAGACAAGCCGATGGGTTTTTAAGGGAGCGGAAAGACCAGCTGCACCGGCGCATGCTGGAACGCAAACCGGACACGGAGGGCAACATGCTGAGCGTTGTAATTCAACAACGTCCCAACGGCGACAAGGACCTGGACGTGGTCGTCGCGGCCATCCAGGCCAACCTGGTCATGAGCTTCTACCTCGGGATGCTGGAGTTCATCGCCAGCAGCGGCCCGGAGGAGAAAATCATCGAAATCTCCGAGACCGGGACCTCCTTACCCACCCACGACCACGGGACCCCCTCCCGTCCCCCGCCCAGCCCCGGGAAACCCCCCACCACCAAGACCACGGTCAAGGAGGCCCCCAAACCTGCGCCGCCGCAGCGCCCGCTTAATACCATGCGGATCAACGTGAAAGTCGACCGCCCGGAGGTGCTGCTGATCGAGAACCCCTTATTAGCTGATTCGCGGGTCCTGGTGTTGAAGACGGATGTGAAATTCACGATGTTGGTGACGCCGGAGGTGTCGACGATGGATTTGAGCTGTATCCAGCTGCAGATGTTTTTAGCGACGTTCGAGGAGCGGAGTGAGAGGTTGAAGCCGGTGTTGCTGCCGGTGGAGGTGGGCGTGCACGCTAGTACGCCGTTTGGGGGCCGGCAGAAGCTGGCGGTGACCGCGGGGTACGTCAATTTGACCATCTCCCCCGTGGCGGTGCAGACGATTATGGGCGTCGTGGCCGGGCTAGGGCAGACCGCCGGGACGGAGGTTGTCATGCAGAATAAGCAGAATCACGAAGGTAAATGCTTCGTTGTGTGTTCTTGCCTCAGGTATTTTTTCTTTTATTCTGTGAATTATAAAAAGATTATTTTCGAAATTGCAGAATTTGTTTGGCGATGAATGGGCAATGTTTTTTAAATCAGTTATTCTGTAGTTTATTTTGTGTAAACTATTTTCGTTTAGTGTAAACTGTGTAATCAAAAGGTGATTTTGAAAAATGGCGGAAGAAATCACAATTTGTAAAATTTATCTGCAGAAATTTTCAAATTTGTTTGCCGTTGATTCTGGAAATTTATTTTTTGATTTTGCTAAATTAATGTAATTAAGCAAAATTAATGTACGAGTAATTAAGCGATTTTGTTTAATATCGGCATGGAGGTGACTTAGGTAAGAATTGAGAATTTTGGTAGTGTGGTGGCTCGAATGGTTTAGGCAGCGCAGCCCATGTGTCTGATAGACTGAAGTTATAATTGGACAATAAATGCAGCATGTCTTGAAGATTGTGTATATATTTTTATTGTTTTTTTCTGTTCGGAAAATTCGTGCGTTTTCCTGCCATGTTCATTAATTATTAGATTAAATTTAAAAAAACTGATTTTTCTAAAAATTAATTAGTTAATGGATTTGTCTTAATTCGTTAAATGCGCGTTAAATAGATGCATAAAATATTCAACAAAATAAGATACTCACAGAAAGCAGTAAAATTATTGAATCCAGGTTTATGGCTGGCCAAACCGGTGGAACGGGAGTCGATGTGGTTTTTATCGGACATTGAGAACGAGGAGGAATGGGTGGACATGGAGGTGGACCGCGCCATCGACGGCATCGTGGAGGACGTGTTCACGGCGGGGGATCAGCTGACGCTGAACACGGAGGCCGTCGTCATCGTCCTGGAGACCAGCTACGGGCCGCGCACCATCCCCATGCTGCTGCTGGAGGCCAAGTTCAACTGCGCCGTCGAGGATTTTACGAAAAAGATGCACTGCACCGGGACGCTGCAGTTGGAGGTGGCGTATTACAACGATCTGTACGATGTGTGGGAGCCGCTGCTGGAGCCGGTGGAGGACTCCAAGAACTACCGGCCCTGGCAGATGCAGGTACGGACGGCAATGGTCGACAGAATTAATTGACACATTTGTTTTTCTATGTGGCTATTTTTATCGTATCTCTAAATTTGTTTTCGGTTGCATAGTTATTTTTCCGCATCATTTTAGCTGCATGAGTAGCCTTTTTCGGCGTATTTTCTTTTCCGGAATTGGCCGTATTTTTTTTTGATTCCTTGAGAGGCGCTCTCTCGCGGTTCCTGAAAATTTGTAAATGATTTTCTTTTAAATTATACACCCACGTAATTTTTACAGGGTTTTTCGGATAAACTTCCTGCTCATTTTTGCGGTTACTTTGTTTTTAGTTTGTAGGGAAAGAAGCTGTAAATTTAATTTTAAATTGAAAAGCATAAATTTCCGTTTCTAAATAAAAAAATTAAAATAAATTTTCAACGAAGACCTGAATTTTGAAATTGCGCCGGCTTGGAATTTTTAATAATTAAGCCAAATAAATTTGGCGAAAATACGCGTTTTAAAATAATTCCGTGGTTCTAGCGGATTAAATTTATTACCATACTTAATGAATAGGTGCGTAGAAAATTCCGTAAAGGAAAATACTCTAATAAACTTGTGGAGTATTACAAATAAAATTCAGTAAAAGCCAATTGTAATTACCCGTAATTAACTGCGCAGGTGGAGGTGAAGAAGAACATCACGGCGGACGAGAACATCCAGGCCCTGGCCCGCGTCGCCGCCCAACCGCTCCCGATGGCCATCCCGCACTCGGACAGCACCATGTCCATCTCCTCCTCCGTGGCCTCCGTGTCCGACGCCTCGGAAGCGCTGCGCCGCACCGCCGCCATGACCGTCTCCGTCAGCTCCATGGATCCGCTGCAGTTGACGCTCAGTCGGCGGACGTTGGACGTCATCTCCAAGATGGCCGAATCCTTCACGGCCGCCATCTCCAACCAGGAACCCATCATGGTCTATTCGAAGACCGCGCCGTATATTGTCATTAACGATACCGGCCTGGATGTCGTCATCGGCACCACCGGGACGCTGGTCTTCGGGGAAGCGGTGCGGACGGAGATGCTGGTACGTGGGCATTTTTTGCCGGTTTTCTCTTGAGTAACTTTGCATTGAAATAATACTGAGATTTTCATGGTTTTGGAAATATTTTTATGGATAATTTATTTTGAATTGTTCTATAAGTCTGAGTTAAAATTTTGCTATTTTTAAGAGTAAATTTATCCGTAAAAAGTGGTATTTTCTAATTTGTTATTTCTACTGGCGGAATTATTTGTATGGTGTAAATTCGGAAATATTTCAACAGTTTAGTAGACTCCATAGACTACTGAGCTAAAGGGGTTTGGAAATTTTATCACATTTTGATTTTGTGGATGTTGCTGTTGTGCTTGGGTATAAAGTTCGTAGTACGGTGGCATTAACGTAAGCTTTAGGTTTCCTTTGCTGTCATTGCTACTTTCATAATCGTAATAAAAAATGTCAGTTTGAAATTGTTTTGTTCAGTTTTTCGTTTATTGTAGTTTTTTTTGTGGGATGTATTTAAATGGGCATTCGTTGAGTGTAGTCGAAGTTGATTGAACTGTTCGCAGTGATTTCTTTTCTTAATGTTAAAATATTCGCTCTAAAGTCTGAAAAATTGGCCGCCTTTTTTGTTTGTTTTTTATCACTGCCTAGCACATAATTATTTTCTGATTTCTCCTTTCAGTTTTCCTTTTTTGCGGCTGATTTCTTGGATTAGTTTAATTACTCCACATGACATTTAGAAAACAATTTATTTAACTGAAGTAAACCAAGATAAAATGCACTGATTTAGCGGCAAGTAAATAAACGTGCCTCTTGGTGTCAGGTGCGCAACGGCGACAAAGTGGAGTTTTATCTGAAAGACGCGGAGATGCAGTTGACGGCGTCGGTGCTAAAAATGCAGGAGAGCATCCGGCTGAAACCGCCGACCATCCGCGTCAAGATCGGCGAGAAGAGCGCCGACATCTTAGTCTCGCGCGCCGAGACCCGCTTTTATTTCATCGAGAACGTGGCGGACCAGTCGAAGCCGGTGCGCCTGGTGGCCGAGATCCGCTCGGACATGGGGCACAAGGAGGTGACGCTGCGCTCCACGGTGCAGGTGGAGAATCTCCTCCCGACCGCTGTGGAGATCTTCTGCGGGACCAGCGGGAAGATGGAGCGCCTGGGCACGGTGCCGGGCGGCGAGAAGTGCAATTTGCCGGTGCCGGCGGTGCAGAATTACGAGGTGGTGGGGCTGGCGTGCCGGCCGACGGAGTACAGTTATCTGCAGCAGAGTGCCGCGCTGGGACTCGATAAGGTGAGGGTGTGGTGCCCGTGGAGGAGTTTTTCGTATTTGTATGTAATAACATTAATTTTTTGTAATAATGTATTTGTAAAAACACATGTAGAAATTTAATATTTTCTGGCTTGTTTATTTTAATTACTTCTGTTTAATGTTTACGGAATTATACTGATTTAGTGCAGTTATTTCAAAGTAGTGCTTGAAATTGAATTATACTGATTTAGTGCAGTTATTTCAAAGTAGTGCTGTTCGCCGATTTATAAATTATTTTGATTATTTCTATTTATTTTTTGCTGATTTGTTTTTTAAATACGATTATGTTTTTTGCATGTTTAGTGATTTATTATTTTTTAATCGCATTTTATTTTATGCATTTATTATTTTATTCGGTCGTCATAAACGTCATTCGGACGTCGTATTGTTAAGGAAACCTACACCACAGAGATGCTTGCAATTTTTGTTTGGGTTTTTTTCTTATTTTAAGATCTTCGTAAATCGTTATTTCATGGGTGAAGATTTCGTAGTACGCTGGCTATTTCGTTCGGTGGTAGAACATGAACTTCTCAGCTGTGCTTCGTACTAATTTGACAATTGCATTTCGGTTAACGGTAATATAAGTTACAAATTCAGTTTTTTACTGGTTTTTTGCTATTTCCTAAATTTTTCTCTTTTTGTGATTGCTCATTCATTACTCGGCGTTTAGTTAACCGATTTTCCGCTCACTGTAATAAGACCATTTTTTTCATAATGCAGCTGGTACAGTATTTCGTAGAGTAGTGGCAGTTCAACGGTCGCCTTCATATCTCGTATGGTGCCAGTTTGATTTGAACATCTTTTCACCTACTTGTACGAGTCGTTAGGATGTTGTTAATCTTTTTTTTCACACCGCTGGGTTGTATGTTGGCAGGTGATCGACATGGCCAACAAGGGCGAGGAAAAGCTGATGCAGTGTAACGCGCAGAAGTCCAGCGCCGCGGATAAGATTGACAATTTCTACTTCAACGCCTTCTCCCGGCTGGTCATCGTCCGCTACGGCAATACCCACACGACCACGCCCAACAGCCGCTTCTATCAGGTAAAAGCCACAGGCAAAATACCCGGAAATTTAGAAAAAAATCATGTTAAATTTCTGGGCAGTTTGATCTTGTTATGCTCACAAATGGCAATTACTGCACGGTTTCTCGCTGGCACACGGTATTATTAAAATTATTTTTGGATTTCTAGAAAATAAAACTGCATTGGTTAGATGTCCCTAAAATAAAATACAGGAAGCCGTTGGGTATGGCAGTGATTATATTTTATTTAAATAACAATTTATTAAAACAAAAATAATTGTTATTAAATGAATATATCGAAATAATTTTCAATAAGGTGTTTTTGCTATCCAAATGGGATAATTGTAGACTGACAAGACTGACAGGTTTTTGCAGATGCCACTTTACTACGCCAGCATCACACGACGTGCAAATTTACCCTGCTTGTGTAAAGCTTCTTCAAATCATTTCCTCGTGCTAAGCGGTTAAATCGTTTTTTTTTCGTTATCAAAATAACATAATTTTTGAATTCAATTTGCTTGATATAAATTTTTCATTTTATTAGCTTCAGCCTTCAAGCTAATTTGTTCCCTGACCAGCTATAATTCTTAAATTTGTTTTATTTTATCATGTATTTTTTTATTCGTTTAACCCGTAGCCGATTTACTCCGTGTCAAAAATATGGTTATGATGCTCCTTTTATGTGAAGATAAATGTTATTATTTATTAAGCTGTAATCCGATTTATTTCATGAGCGAACGTAACTTTTTTAACTGAATCTCTTTTCATTTTTTATTCATTAGCTGGTGCTGAACGAGACCGAAATATTTCCGTGGCCATATATAATTTTTTAATTTCTTGTATTTTAGGTCAAAATAGGGTATATTTTTTTTACATATCGCTAGCTTTAAACCGGTGTATTGCGTGGCCGGATAAACTTTTTTAAAATTTGTATTTCTTTTTTATTCTATTCGTTAGCTCGTGCTGCACGAAACCGAATTTTTCCGTGGTCGAATATTATGCTTTTAATTTCTTGTATTTTAGGATATGCATTTCTGCACAGTGCTGATCGTGACTGAATATAGTATAATTATGTTTTTACTTTCTTTATTAGCTTGTCCTGAAACCGATCTACTCTGTGGCCAACATCCTCCCCATCCCCTTAAGCGTCCACGTCCAGAACGCATTAGAACCCGGCGTGACCCTGCCCCCCGGGGGCTCCACCTCCATCTGCAACGCCCGCGTGGGGGAGAACCAGTTAATCTTCACTTTAGACGATTTCGCCGGCAAGACCTGGTCCGGCAGTCTCCCCCTCATCGCATTAGTCGACGAGATGGTCCTGCTCCCCATGAAATCCGGCGAGGAGATCATGAACTTTGGCATCCGCAACGTCAAAGAACAAGGTACGTTTAAAGACATGGAACTGGAAAAAAAATTCTGGAACCTGAGATTTGGTCAGAAAAAAGTACTGAGTTGTGGTGTTTAAATACACTGCTGTATTCTGGTTTAAAGCTTGATCTGAAATACCGTGTATTCTGGAGAATTGTTATTGTTGTGAGTGTCTGTTGCCTCGGACGTTAAACCATTGAACCTTATTAAAGGGACGAATTTCCTGTCCGTCTACTGTCCGGTGTGGATTATGAACAAGACCGGGCTGGAACTGAGTTACCGCGAGCCGTTGATCCTGCACCGAGCGGATTCGGGGGAGGTGCCGATATTGTTTACCACGAAAACGCTGAACTCGAAGAAGCGGGTGGCGCTGAAGGCGGCCGATTCGGAGTGGTCGGAGAAGTTCAGTCTGGATACCATCGGGAGCAGTGGAGTGTTATCGTGTAAACGGGCCGATGGCTCGTTGGCGTACGAGTTCGGGATTTCGATTAAGCCCAGCTCGGCGGTGCTGACGCGCTTGGTGGTCATTATGCCCTACTACATGTTCCAGAATAATTCCGACGTAAGTTGCCTGTTGATTTTGTGTGACGTAATCATTTAAATTGCGAAGTAAAGTGATTAAAACTGTGAAAAAAAATTATTCCGATTTTTTTGGGTGCAAGTGCAATTTTGTTTGATGTTTCTTCTTTTAAATCGGCTAATTTTTCCTCGTGGATAGAGGATAAATACGTGGTTGTTTTAAATGCTGCAGCATTCAACTGAAATTTAACTAGCAATAATAAAAAAAATTTCTTTTCCAGTTTCTAATTTTATTTCCAGTGAACTGGTGGTATGACTGTACGAGTCGTAAAAGTAAAAATATTATTTTTCCAACTAGCAACCGGATGAACTGAGAGGTCAATAATATCTATTTTATCTGCTGCATCTAATTTTGTATTGCGCCTGTTTCAGAAACCACTGCTCTACGCTTGTATGGTGTTTGTTACGGCTTTGTTCCGCGTTTTTTTTTCACCATACGTTATAGTTTATTATTTTTCCTCACCAAAGCATTTACAGTAACTTAGAAGGCAATCCCTCTTATTAAGCATCAATCGAGAGGGCGGCCTAATTGAAAATTTGATCTAAATTTGCTCCCAATGGCGCTGTCCCCATGATCGATGCCGCATTTCCTCGTTGAATTTCAATGCTGATCCGTTGGCGAAGGTATTCCGTGGCACGTTTTTCGCCAGTTTCTTGTTGTATGAGCTGTCCAAATTCCGTTATCGTGCGGGCAGCTTCCGGTCCGGGCGGCCCGAGCGTTTCAAAACCCAGAGGACGGAACCAGTACTCTTGGCCGATATCGCGATATTTCTCGATCTTGCCCTGTTCGGCCTGTGCTGCTGCTGCTGTTCCGCGTCAAGAAATTTCAGCAATTTATAGGCAGCTTAAATTGTGAAATATTCTCTTGTGAATTGTAATATGAATTCAGTGTTGCCGAATTAAACAAAAGTAAGACAAACCAGCGCTGGCTTAGATTAATAAGAATTTCTAAAAATAAGAAATAATTTGTTTAGGAAGTTTTTTTATGGATACCGGTATATGACACGACAGCAAGTGCGAACATGAACGAAATGCTTTATAAACAGTTTGTAAAAATATTCTGGAAAAACTAGGGAATCAATTTCTTCGGTCGGTGAACTTTGCCGTGCGGGAAGAAGCCGAAAAAAACGAGAGTAGGATTGAATCTTAAATTACAGAAAACGAAATGAAATCAAGGAAAACAAATAAGGAAAAATCTAGAAAAATTATCAAGAAAAATCGAGAAAAAATTCATAAAAATTACCGAGTTCATTCATCACGGGTAGGTGAACATTGCCGTGCGAGAGGAAAACCCGGACGCGGCGTGGATCGTGGTGCCGAAGAACAGCTGCCGGCCCTTCTGGCCGCAGTATCTCTCGCCGCTGGTGTGTCTGCGCATCGAAGGCACGCAGGAACTGACGTCGGCCTTCCGTTACGGCGTCCTGCAGAGCGTTTTACTGGCGCTGAAGAATCCGTACGGGGGGATCTACGTGCAGACGCAGGTGTCGGAATCCAACGTCACCTGCTCCTTATCGCTTTATTCCCCGGGCACGGCCGCCGCGCTGCTCATCAACGACACCAACAAGACCATCCTCTTCAAACAGGAGACGTACCCGGATTACGCCGTGTTGCCGGCGAATTGTCAGCAGCTGTTCACGTGGGTGCTGCCCAGTGAAGCCAAGGCGTTGGTAAGTTTATGATAAAATAGCGGTTGTTTAAACGTACATATATATATTTATTCTTGTAAATATTTTTGCTCGTTTATTTGGTGGTCTTCTGGAGATTTTACTTATGCCAGTATTTAAAACTTGTATTCGAAAGTTTTTTCCGTAGTTTTTTGCCCGGTTAATTGTCTTTGAGATAGTTTGATGTATCAGTGTTTTAATACTGTGGTGCCAAGTGAATTCCGCACCATTTCGTAAAGCGTGATACGCTAGAGCTGTATATGGGGTTCAGCGTTCGCCGAACGCGCTGAACAGCGTCAGGCTGCCAGTAGTAAAGGGCTGAGCGTTGCTCACCCTTGAAAAATCGCTCCTGCTTCAAAACGGCTCTCTTTAAGACCTATAGACTTGAATTTAATCAAAAAAATATTTTTACAAATTTATGTTTACAAAACATGCGAGCTGTATTACGTATTGTCTAGCTGCTGGCTCGAAATGCTTCGTCGTACCCGCACGTACTACTGAATGTGAATTTTTTCAAATTGCTAGTTCAGGCAGTTCATAAGCCTGTAGACAGTGAACCCACTGAACGCTAGAGCCGTCCATACAGCGCTTGTCTAGCATGCTGTACGAAAAAGTGCGGAATTCACTTGGCACCACAGTAATAGACGAACTTTTTTCTGCTCTGCATAATAGTTAAGGACTTGATGTGCTGGTGGCAAATTGTAGTACGATGGCAAATAGATCGCAGAACGATGTTGTCTGTGCCGTAGCAATTCGATATCCTGTACGACTATTAATACGACTACGAAGTAAGTGACTTGTGTACCCATTTTTTGTACTGAAATTAATTTACTAGATGAACGAAAATAGTTATATTTTGGCATAAAACCGGCGCAGTTTTGTTTACCTTTACCGGATGCAGTAGAATGCTCGGAGTTTTGGTAGCCAGGTGTAGTGTGATGGCTTTTATGCAATGGTATGCATAAGCAGGCCGATAATCTGAGCTATTTATCTGGATAAAAAGAATAATAACTCTTCTGTTGGTTTAAGTTTTTTTTATTAGGAGAGTTTATTACAAATATATGGCGGAAAATATTGCTGAAGTTCGTACTGAAAAGATTGTGTGAAGGACTGCTTGCTGTCCTTTTACTGAAATAAAAAGTATTATTAAATCACAAAAGGTGATTAATTTTATGCCATTTAAAAATGCCGGTATGCATTGAAACGTATTTCGTCGGAACTTGGCTGTTTTTCTAAATTTCCAGTTAAGAATGTACTGAATCTGTGTGCGGCAGGTGTGGACGGAGGAGGGCGGTGAATCCGAAGCCAACCGCGCCGTGGATCTGAACCGCGACGATGTGGGCGTGAATTACGCGGCGGACGGCAGCAGTCTGGTGTGGGTCAGCTTCCTGGACGGTGTGCAGCGCGTGTTGCTGTTCACGGACCGCAAGGAAGTGGCGCAGCAGTGCAGTCGCTCGCTGGACAACGAAGTGAGCAATGTGGAGTTGAACGTGGCGCTGGACGGGATCGGCGTGTCCCTCGTGGATAATAACGCCAAACGGGAGATTATCTATCTGGGGATCGTCAGTCCGGGCGCCGTGTGGATGGGCCGGAAGATCGGCGCCAAGAAATTCAAACCCATGAATTTAGGTGAGATTTACTAACAAGGTTTGCTGGAAAATATGCGGTAGTTAGTAGTTACACAACGTTGCTGTTATTTTGAATTTTCTAAATGTTTTTTCTATGTAGTTTTTTTTGTAATTTTCCTGTACCCCGTGAATTTAAGTAGAACATTATTACGAGGAATTTTGTATGGAAAATCTTAGCTGGATATCCGTTTTTTTTTGTTTTTAAAATTAATAAATTAAATTTTTCTGTCATTAAGAACCGGCAGCATACATAGAAGATTATGTCGAATAATCGTAGTGTTGTGGCTTCGAATCACAATGAACAAAACCGAATTTGCCCGCTCGAAATGTAGCAACGTGGTAAATTATGAATTTTTGAAAATGTTTTTTTCCCAGGTACATTATTAAAGTACGAATTGACTTTCATAAAAATTACAATTTTTGATGAACCCGACTTAAGAAATTGAATATTGGAAATATGCTACACTTGTCAGGCGAAGATTGTCATTATGTTCTCTCAGCGAATAATGGTGGAAACGTGGCTTGCAAACCCAGTCAGAACGCGATTAATAAAATCCGGCCGTTTTAAAAAGAAATACAGTAGTGTAGAAATCGGTTACAAAGTTGTAAAAATATTATTTTTTGATGAGCGACATATTCCGGTTGAATTTCTTTTGTGGTAAATTATTTTTAAAAATATACTGTGGTGGTGAGAATTATTAGTAACGTTGTGTTTAACATTGGATTATTGTTATAATAATAAAACGTCATAGAGAAAGCTTGTCTGTTGTCACAGCGTTGAAGTGTTGAAATGAATAATTACAAAATTGTGATAATACTTGTTTTTGTTTTTCCTGTGAATTATAGAAAATGTTGTTTTTTCCTCGATGAATTGTTATTGTAAATTAAATTAATTAATGTAAATCCCTTGATTTTAAATTGCCAGTGGAAAATATGCTGTAGCACCCGGGAAACGAGTGTTGTCGCGTGGGATAATCGTAGAAATGTGGCTCACACAGGTGCAGAGGTTGATGATAAAGGTGCCCGTTTAGAAAATAGCGCCGAAATTGCCTGCAAATTGCGGATAACGCTTTGTGTTTGTTGAGTACAAATTTTTAATAAAACCTTTTAATTTTTTTTTAGAACATGCAAAATACTCGCAGTCAGAAAACGAACGCTTTATGTTTCGTCGGTACAAATTTTTATTAAAATTTTTTCAAAATTTTATTTTTCTTTCAAAAAGTACACGGAGTAGTCGCAAATCAGGAAATGACCGCTGTTTATTAAGGGTACAAATTGACCCTTCATCGGTACAAATTTTTAAGAAAAAGACTTTTCTTCCTTTAAAATTTTTTTTTGGAAAATCACGCGAAGTCGTCATTAATCGCAAATTGACGGATTACGGACTTTATTGGTCAAATCAATGCCACTTAAGTACACAAATTTGAAGAGAAAGGAACCCGCTAAACTGTAACAGAACATTGAGGGTTTGTTTATTGTAGGGGAAACGAAGCCGTTGGAGGTGGCGTACAACCAGTGGCAGATGCTGCGGGAGCGCGACAAATCCCGGACGCGCTCCAACATCATCACCGTGGACGACACGGAGATCACGTTCGACGCGCAGGGCCCGGCGCTGATGACCAAGCCGAAGAAGCGCGAGATCCAGCGCACCTACCAACCCGGCATGTGGTGCCGCGTGCGCAGCAGCGACCATCACACGCAGTTCCATCTCAAACTGCACAAAATCCAACTGGACAACCCCATCATCGCCGGTACGCGACACCTGATTAATTCGCTCAGAATTCTAATAATAATGCCGATATATTAATGATTAATATTGAAACCGGTTGAATAATCACAGGAATTAATGGATTAAAACAATTCTATGTGATTTTCAGATTTCTACTTATTAAAAGAAAAATCAGAAACTTGAGCAGAAAAATTCAATGATTAATGTTGAAAATGCTCAAAAAATCGCATTAATAAATTGGATAACAGTTGCAAGTGAATCATAGTCTTTCGCTTATTATTAAAAGTAAATTAGAAATTGTCAAGCAGAAAAATAACCATTAATATTGAAGATACTCAAATAATCGTGTTATTAAACTGAATAAAAATTCCGTGTGAATTACGGAATTTTTCGTTATTGTAAAGAGTAAACAAACACTGAAATTACAACTGGTTTGTCGTACAGTGCATTTTGGTGGATAATCGTAGTAAAGTGGCTCTATTGCTCTATTAGCGACTTGTAGAAAATTGTCCGTTACAACGTGATCGATACGAAATAAATGGCAATATTTACTGTAAATATTTTTAGCTGTCTGTGCGTTCGTAGAAATTTGTACATAAATATTTTTAATGAGGGAAAATTGTGAAAATAAATAATTTCATAGGTACCCGCTATCAAGTAGTCCTGTATCCGGTGCCATTGCCGGCCACCGCCGATTACAAGCCCTTCACGGAGATCAGCGTGGTCCTGCGCAACGCGGAAAAATCCGCCGTCACACAGTACAAATTATTAACGCTACTCATCCAGGAATTCGAATTGCGCATCGACCAGGCGTTCATTAACGCCCTGGTCGGCATGTTCAGCGGCGAATCCACCAACGCCTTCGCCGAACGCACCAAAATGCTGGACAGCTTTAGAAAATACGATTTAGCGGAGATCCCGCGCTCCCTGCAGGAGACGGTGGCGAAGGGCTTCGGGGAGGAGCGGCAGGCGTATTACGAGAAATTAATGCTGCAGCCGATTAAAATTCATTTGAGTTTTTCATTGAGCGGCGGACATGTGGAGAAAAGAAGTGGATTGGCTATGCCGGCCGAGTTTATCACGCTGTTTATTAAGAGCATCGGGGTGACGGTCACGGAGGCCAATGATGTCGTGCTGAAGCTGGGCACGTTTGAGCGCGATTTCCGGTACGTGAAAAATATTACTGGAGAGATTTATTGATTTTTTACTCATTCTTTATATCTATGTGTATTTATTTTTTGTTGAGAGATTAGTTGAGAATATTTGGAAGATTGATTGAATACTGTGAATTGAAAATCACAAATCAGAAATTATTTCGAAATTGTACGCAATTTCCGCGCCGATCGGTTTTATCAGAAATAACGTGTTTTTATAAAGCGTTGCAAAATTGTCAGTACATTTACAGGACGGCGAAAATTGGGTTGATTTTTAAAATGTAAAAAAAAACGGAACGAAGTGCAAATGGTTAAAAATTAATTCGTAAAATGCATTGAATATGAATGATTAAAAAAAACACGTTGGAGTTGTTTTACTCGATTTTTGCAAGAATTTATTAGCGTGGCTGCGCTCGATTACGGCTCGTTTTTTGGCCTATTTTGTGCCCATACACTACGTTTTCTGCACTAACCGGTATATGACAGGAACCGTAGCATGATTGTCTGTGCGGATAAACTGAGCCAATAAATACATGTGAATATTATGGGCGATTGCTGATGAATGGCATGGTTGTGTGAGAAATTGTAACTACTGTTGCCCTACAGATTCATCAGTCAGAAGCAGTTGGTGGGCGAGGTGCAGTCGCACTACATCGCGCAGGTGGTCAAGCAGATCTACATGCTGGTCTTCGGACTGGACATCCTGGGCAATCCCTTCGGGCTGGTACGCGGCATCGGCGACGGCGTGAAGGATCTGTTTTACGAGCCGTATCTCGGTGCGGTGGAGGGTCCGGAGGAGTTCATGGTCGGACTGACCTCGGGCGTGCGCAATTTCGTCGGCAGCACCGTCGGCAGTACCATGGGCGCCGGTGAGTCATCGCCACCGTCTTGTCGTGCCAGTATTTTCTGTTTTTAATTTTATGGTTATTTTTTTCCATTTCTATTGATTAATTTTTAGCTGTTTCATGTTTTATAAATTTTATTTTTACGTGATTTATTCTGATTATTCTCGGTTGCTGTCCTGCAGTTAACTTGTGACTTAAGCGGTCGAAGTAGTCAAAGACAGTTATAATAGTGAAATGCTGAAAACTAAAATAATGAATATTATGTCAAAAATATCTGAATAAACATCTACACAATAAAAATTCCCTTGAACGAATCTTGTGCATGAAAGAATTTTGTTTTTTTGCGGTTTACTCACAGCGTGACCTTCTAATATTAAATGGCTCATGCGCCCATGCACTACGTTTGTTGCACGTACCAGCTGGGTTACTTGGACCGAATACTGCCTAATAAGAACGAAAATAAAAATAATAAATAAAATTAACTAATAACATTGAAGATAACGGTATTAACGATGGAAAACATGAATAACAGTAATAATAAATAATATCTGTTAATAAGAGTGAAAAGGATAATAGTGAAAATGGTTAATTAACCGCACCGGGTGTGTTTGTAGTGGGCCGGGTCACCGGGACACTGGGACGGGCCGTGGCGGCGTTGAGCTTCGATCAGGAGTTCCAGGAGCGCCGACAAGCGGAACTGAATCGCAGCGGCGGCGATTTCGCCGGCGGAATGGCCTCCAGCGGCCGGCATCTGGTGTCCGGGGTGGTCGAGGGCGTCACGGGGGTGGTGCGTCGGTAGGTCACGTGGATTATTGGTCAACAGTTATTTAGTAACGTCTTAATGTAATTTATAGCGCAAACAGATTTTTTTGGGGGTAATTTCAGCGGATTACGGAATTAATTCAGAATTCTTCTTAATTATTGTCTGTCAAATTAAGTCGTGATTTTCTCTGAATAAGTGGCGGGGTTTTCTTCCTTCCATGGTAGAGTAATGGAAAATAATTACATATTTACGGTGTTAATGGAATCGTGGCGAAAATGAATTTTTTATGATTATTTTTATCGTTGTTTGAAATTAGTGTGGTTCTGAGGTTTTCTTCCAATTATTGTCTGCAGTTAAATGACGATTTGAAGCTGTCTAAAATTTTTATAAAGGCAGTGTCGGTTATTTTTTTCCATAGCTCTGTAGAGAAATATTTTTATTGTTTGAAAACATTAACAGAATTTAATAGCGATTTAATATTGGATTTATTTAGGTTAATTTTTTTCTTACCATTGTCCAGTGTATTGTGTGTCACGAAAGAGGAGGGTATGCAGCGTGCTACGTTAGTTATGTATTAAGGAATATTTGTAGTGATAAAAACCGTCGATAGAATTTAATAGTGATATATGATTGATTTTAATTCGATTTATTTTTAATAATTTTTTTTGACCGTTATTAAATGTTTTTCGTGTAGACCGTGGGAAGGCGCGAAGGAGGAGGGCGTGGAGGGTTTCGTGAAGGGTCTGGGTAAGGGCTTTTTAGGGCTGATCGCCCGGCCCACCACCGGGTTAATCGACTTCGCCTCGGGCTCCTTGAACACCATCGGGCGCGCCGTCAAAGGCGACAACACGGTGGAGTGGCTGCGCAATCCGCGCTTCATCGCCTCCGACGGCATCGTCCGGCCCTACAACCTCCACCAGGCCGAGGGCGGCCTCATCTTCAAGAACATCAAGAACGGCGACTACGCCAAGACCGACGAGTACATCACGCACCTCGTCACGTCGCGCGAACGCCGGTCAGTGAATACTTTCGTCATTAAATTTTACATAACTTTCCAGGAACCGCTGATATATTTTTATAATGGGTTTCCGACGAATTTCTTATTGATTAGGAATTTGTGGGGGACATTTAAATGATTATTCCATGGTGGTACTTGATTAACTGTAGATTACATTGCCCAAAAATATCTGGTATTTTTCTAATAAATTTTTGACGATTTTGTACTTGACCGTCGCGTTTCTATCATTTTTATTTATTCTATAAAGTATTGAAGTAATTTTAATATTTTATTTATTCTATAAAGTATTGCATTTTCATCTCGATAATGGAATAGTGTGCAACAATGTGCAGTAGCATTTAGTTTTGTATTAACGTATTATGATTTAATAATACTGGAATGTGGTCGGTATTATTTGTAACCGTTTGGTTTGTCAGCACACTGGCCGATGTGAAGATCGTAGTGTGAAGGATAGATATCAGGTCACGTGTTTTCCCTAATCCGACCGTGCGCCTATGCGGAAAATTAATTTGTTTCGTTTGATATTACATACATTTTTTTAATAACCTGCTAAAATCACTAACGATTTATTCTAATCGTACAATTATTATATAAATTTAGTACAATCATTATATAATTTTATATAATTTTATTTATATTTTTTTTAGCAAAATAATTCAAAATTAAATTTCGCAATGTTAGAAAATAGCTGGAGAAAAAAAGGAACTTGCACGAAGTTTGTGACGAGTCACGGGAATAAATGAACTGCATAAAATAGAAAATAAACTGCATGTGAAAAATACAATAAAATCTCGCCAAGGAAAATGTGTTGAAAATTCTGTGGCGACTGGCGAGTAATCGGGTGGCGTGTGTGTCGCGCAGGTACATTCTGATGCTGACGTCCAAGCGCGTCATCTGTCTGGAGCGCGGCGACGTGATCCACGACTGGAACGTGGAGTGGGCCTTCACGCTGGAGCAGATGCCCGAGCCGGCCAATCTGGACGATAAAGGTCTGTGTGTCTACGTCACCGACTCGGCGGAGGGCAAGCCCCTGGGGGGCCTCTTCTCCAAGGTCAAGAAGAGCAAACGCGTCTTCATTGAGGACCGCGATTCGGGCGCGTGGTTCTGCACCAAGGTCCAACGTCTCTGGAAGGACTGCCACGGAAAATAACATACAAATACATTGAAAAAATTCGGAGGAATTTTTCCGGATTTTTTTCGGGATGAGTCTGGTCAGAACAATTGGTGTTGGATAAATGGGACAGTAATTAGATTAAGTTAGATTTGTTGACGGCCTTGCTTTGTATCTGTTGTTGCGGCTGACAGGAATATGTGGGAAATACTCGGTTGGTGTTTTCTGGATGATTATTTTTAATTGGGGAATTTTTATTGTCGGTTTATATTATTATGCATCGTGTTGTTTGTTGTCTGTGAAGGATCGAGCGGAGCGACGCTGAAAAGCGGGAAATGGATTAAAATATTATATGTATTGACTTTATGTCGGATAAAACATGATGACCCGAATTTCAGGAACAAAATTGCAGTACCTCAAAATAAAATATATAAAAAAATAACATCAAATACAAGTTGTACAACTGTACAAAATGCAGTTTACCAAGGAAAACGTTGCACGCCGTTCACATTCCAGGCTTTTTCTTCGAATTTTCTTATGGATGTCTAAATTAATGCTCAATATTGGAAATATACTTTGAAATTTGATTAAAAAAAACACCTCGGCATTCGGATTCCGTTCATTTAAACTGTTTGGAATTTCTCACAGTCGGAACTTCCAAATGGATGTTGCGCGCACTATGGTTTTCGCGTAAAACTGTAAACAAATCATTTGGGTTCAGAATGTCATAAAACGATACAAATAGGTGTTTACACTGTAGGTACGCTTGAGCGACAAGGTCCAGTGCAAGGACCCGAATGTGGTGCCGGGTCACTTTCCTAACGTTCGATCAATTATATGCCGGTCAGCGCGTAGTGTAAATCAGCTAATTATCGGCCATAAAGCGACCTGAAAGTTGGAAAAATCGGCCTACCGCTTCGGTTCTAGTGCAGCGTTGGTAGTGGTGTGTGACGCCCGGTGTGCCAAAATGTAGACGGATAATCAGAGAATGCACGTCTCACTGCTTCCCGAGTTCCCGTGTATTCCTTCCCGTCGGAGAGAGGGCGACACACCTTGTCCCAACTTGTATTCACCAGCTTCTCATAAGAAATATCTGGGCGTCAACCGAGGCATGTGAGATGTTCTGCTATATACCGTGGGGCGTGTGCCATCGCTGCTTAAGGGAAGTATGTACATCATGTACATACACGACTTTGGTACATGGGACCATGTACCAAAGTCGTGTACATGCATGATGCAGGAAATGTTTCACTTTCGCGCACTCCCCTTTTTCTCTTGTTTTATGAGATTCTGTAGCCAGAAGAGTTGTTTACACTGGTGTGAAAACCGTTTGTGCGCGCAACATCCGCTTCGGGAGTTATGGCTGTTAGCAAATTCCAAAAAGTTCATATGCATTCAGGTGTACCAAAAGTCTCATTATGGACGAATCTCCCTCAAATTTTGCACGTAAATGCACATGGCCATGAAGACCGTTTTTACACCGATCCAGACTTCCATGATTTGTTTCAAATTTTAAAATGAATTTTAAAATTTTTGAAAATCACTTTAAAATTTGCAAAACATGCTAGAACAGTGGATCGGTGTAAAAACGTTCTTCGTAGAGAATTCGGTGGCTGACCTTTCACACATTTTACCCGGTCGTCAAGCCAACTCTGGCCTCTTATTCCCGCAGAAACGTACGCCAATTTTGGAGTGGAATGACATTCAGCAGTGCACCGGAATCCCGGTGGAAAAGCAAGTAGCACTGCCTTAATCGTAGCAGAGAATGATGTGCGATTCCGCATCCTGGCGAGTTGCGACTGCCAAGTGCGCTGGAGCCGCCACCGCAGTAGCATTTTCAGGACAAGAAGTAGAAGTACCTGTTCCGTGCAGTAGGCGTCGAAGCACTCGGACCTTTGGGACCAGACGCCTCTCGCATGGTCACCGAGCTCGGGCAGATGATACGCGAAGAAACGGGCGAGATACGGGCGATTGAGTATCTGCGCCAGCGGTTCAGCGTTGAAATTCAACGCGGGAATGCGGCCTCCGTCATGGGAACAGCACCAGCATCGGCTAATTTAGATGAGATGTTCTGTACAATTAGACCGTCTGTTTCTGTTGTCGGTTGAGGCTGGAGTAAGTACATCTTTATTATGATAGAAAAATAGTGTGAGTTTTGTATACCGCCAAATAAAAATGTACGTTGCATTTAACTTTCTACTTTACATGGCATTATCTCTCTTTCATTTCACTTTTCTACTTTATATTTTTGCATGTACGTTTCATTTCATACTTCCGCCGGTGTCTCAATGCCATAAGAAGGAGATAAAAATTAGAAGTAGAAGAACACAGTGGTCCCTACAGTATTATGTTGTCCCTGGCGAGCACGAAGTATCTGTCACGTGATTCGATGCTGCGCCGTTCTGTTGAAGGTGAACCGGAAAGAACTGTCAGAAGCATAATGCTACCGCTGGGTTTTGGTGACAGACGACCTTTAACAAACTAACTACCACTGACAGGACACTAACTAGGCGTTCTGTTCACGATGACCTTTATATAATACTCAAGCAAAGGAGCACCGTAACAGCCTCATTAAAGCTCAGACGACATTCCACAGCATACTACCCAGATCTAGTTATTCCGGTTTACTGTACTTAGTTAGTAATGCAAGATAAAACTGGTGCGGTCATAATGTTCTCCCTCAAACACCCAGCAGAGACTTTTTTGAATCTGTACAGATCTGCTATGCACTCCACTTGTACGGTAAAATAAGCGTATTATAGACAGAATGCGAAACTATATTTTGCTGTGTGTTTTGTGAGGGATTAAAGCCCAGTTTATGCGTTATGAAGTGGCTGATACTTTCACCATTAGGTGTTACCGTACTTTATTTCAATAGCGTGATAACAATATCAAGATCTAATTACGGTTAAACGAAACAACATTCTCGACGGTCCCCATTACTGAAGCAGCATTACCACGTTGAATTGCTAAAGAGATGTTCTGTTTCAAAAACTCCAGACTTCACCATTTCCTTCCATTTCAGCAGTTCTTCTGGTGGCACCAGGTGAGCACACAGATAGACAAGCAGCACGCGGAACGCTTCAGTTGTTCACATTCACATATTCGCTCGTACTTGAAATATCCCCCGATCAGTAGTGACACGGTATCAGCTCGTTGTCGTGAGCTACGTGAGATTCTTGTGTATTTCGGCTTTGGCCACCTGTCTCTGACGGAAAACATGAGAATTATTGCTGTTCGCAGAATCGTGTATCGATTTTATTCTACACATAATCTGGTGCAGTGCAACGCTTAGCCGATATGTACATCCAGCAGCTTTTCGGGTTCCAGAAAAAAATTATCTGAAAAGGTTTTACTTCGTTTGTTAACTTTCGTTTAAAAACTGTGATGGACAGGAAAAAATGGGTTTTTATATAAATTTCCAATAATTCGGTACAATCTGCGGTCGGTGGATCAAAAAAGTACGTAATGGCGCATCTGGCCTGATACACTAAGCCGTTTTGCTAACGATATTGTGGTAGGGTGTCCAAGGATCTAGAATACTGTACTGCAATACCGTTAGCAAAGCGGTTAAGGGAAGTTTCTGGAATTTTGCTACCCTAATAACTCCCCAACCGGATGTTGTGCGCAAAAAATGAGTTCTCGACAATGGATACAAACCATTCTGCTTCACAATCTCACAAAGAAATCCCAAAAAGTGTTTGGAAGTGCGCAAAAGGCGGAAGTTCCCATGAATGTACACGAATTACTTTAGTGGTGTTACGATCGTGGAGGTTTACCACCATGGACACTGGATAGCGTGGATTGCATGGCTGTATGTATCTTTATGGTTTGTTTGTGCCGAGTCTGAGCTGTATCATTTATGATCATATTTGTGCGGGACATTTATGTCTTTATGGTGTTATGCATTTATATGCATGAGTGTTTGTGACCGATGGTCAAGTGTGAATGAGAGGAAGGCAGGACTAATCTGGCCTGCAGGAGCGGATGTGCAGTGGTCAGATTGGTGCGTGTGTTTTTATAGCTTTGTGGCTGTATGCGATATGAGCGTGTTGTGCGAGCATGCATATTGATGTGGTATATAAGTTGATGCAACTGTGTGGAGACGGCACAGTTGTCGGGAGTGCAGCTGTCATGAAATAAAAGTTAAGCTTTTTCCCTGTGGTGTATGTTGTACGAGGTAGACGTAGTGCTGCAGGGTTTTATCAGTGGCAATGTACCTAGTCGCTTCCCGGCGGGCTTCCCTTAACGCGCAAAGAGACTGAACTACTGAGTTCTTCCACAAGTCAAGCGTATTCCAAGCTGTCAGTATTTTATGTAATTACCTAAGTAACGCAGAATATTTCTATTAGAAGAACAAAATGTATGTTGGGACTCTCGTCATGGTGCCGTTAATCCCTGCAAGCCAATGACGTTTTGCAAAATATAATTAACCGTCCTAATAAGTACTGGTGGCCTTTTGTTCATCTTCAATAATAATAAATTCGGCATTAGTACGATATACTTTTAGCCGTGTGAGGAGCATGGTTAAGTACTATCCGAATGTGGGAAGTTATCAATTCACGATTATCACACGATGTTTACTTCCGGAAGGATGTCCAACTGACCCCAGTTTTGAATAATTTGACCTACTTTAGACAGTTCAGATAAACCTGAATGCTTATGTGTTATGCTTATGTTTAGTTTTAAGAAAGCCATTTGTGTTTTTTCGCGAATTTTTCACGGCTGGTTGGACTTATCAACTGCCAAATTTTATAAAGAGTTTCTTTTTTTGTAAACCTGATTCTCATTGCAGTAACTGCGATTAAAAAACCCCAAAAAACTGGTCGCACCGAGATATCCACGCGCCGATAAGGCCATTCTAAATGTCCCGGTGCGGCAACGAGCAGTTTCGCTACCAATTGTCACGCCAGCGAAACGTCATAAAAACAAAATGTCTGTACGGTGACTCTGTAGCACGAAATGTCCTATAACCAGTTGCCTTCCGACCAAAAGTCCTCTTATCGAAGTGTCCCTGAAGAAATTTCCCGCGACTCGAACTGTCTCGCGACGACTTGTCAGGTAGCCGACGCAAGGTGCGACTGCACTTCCCCCCTTCCAGGTGACCGCCTCTAACACCAGGTACACCAACCCTCACGCCGTTGTGCCGGACTCCCCGCAACCAGCATCCGGACATAGAGGTCATCGTTGTCGCCACGGGTCTACCCGCCCTGCGTGATCCGATGCGCTCCCCCGCATCATCTTGAATCCCGCCCTGGGTGCAGTCTGCACCCAGGGCGGGATACCGGGTAATGCGCGGGAGCGGCGCCAAGGGCGCCAGGGGACTGTAAGTCTGCAATGTCTGGTCATCTTCGCGTTCTCGACACGCTTTGGACATTCCCGAAGTAGGTGATCCGCTGACTTGAAATTTCAGCAAGATGTATCCTTACGTGCCATGTTCCCGGTTCCGGTTGGATATCGTAATCGTTATATCTTTTTTCCCTAAAACCTTTGTACTTATAAACTTATTATTTTCATTCTTAGGTATTTTTTCTGCATTTTTTAAGTTACAACATAAGCGGATTGGATGAAATCGAATACTGTCATAAAACACAGGAGTTGCGCGCTATTCTTTACGTAGGGTAAAACGCACCACGGCGGTCCCAGCAGAGATGCGAAAACAAGTGCAGTTGCCGATACCTTCGCCCAAACCACATAGAGCATACGGCAAGTGTTCCAGGAAGTGCAGCGCAAGTAAGAGAAAATCATAAGCTACGGAAGTACGATGGACTCGCGGATCGCTACGTAGTACAACCTCTGGCTTTTGAAGCTACGGGAACTTTTGGACCGCTAACAAATAAAGTTTTTAAGGAGTTATCGAGGAAGATTTGCGAATGTAGCGGGAGTTTTTGCGCTAGAGAATCAGTACTGAGATACAACGAGGAAGTGCAGTGTCTGTCATCGGAACTTTTAATGACATGAGAGACAACGAAGATGTTTTTCTAGCATTTAGATTGGCTGGTCGGAAATAATTAGTGCCCGGTGTTGCTTTTCTTGGCAGCTTTGCTGTGATTTTGTTATCAGTAGTGAATTAAAAAAGTTTTGATTTAATGCAGTGGCATATCGTAATAGGCAACTAGGCATCTCTCTACCATTACATTACTGTGCTTTCAACCGCCCACGGGGCGGCATGGCGGCACAGATCATCAGTACTTCTACGCCAGTAACGCCACCGATGTCTGTCTGTCAGCTGTTGATGCAAACACAAACTGCAAACCACAGATGTGTACAGTACCAGTCGTTTTTAACCGTTTCCTACAACTACAAGTGGTCGTGTTTTTACCCTTTTCCCGTCTCCCGGTGGGCTGATTAGTTCTGTATCCAAGTTGGTCGTTACCGAAGACGAGTATGGAGGAAGCCAGCAGCACACCGTCTACAGGAAATGCTTCAAATGATCAGCGTAGGTGATGAGCTCGTTAAGTACGAGTATTAGTAATTAGCTGGATGCAGTTCTGCACAAGTCGTTTTCCCTTTCACGTCGTTGTTTGGATTGCCTGTCTGTTTTTCTGCCATCATTAAATTGATATTGTCTACGGCCGATCGGTGTTGGATATGTGTTTAATAGTGGTAAAATGGGCGAGCCGACGCACTAACAAGTGGCGAACTCGCGAACTTTTGAGCCTCTTTCAGTCTTTTTAACTTGTAACTTGTTGATGATTCTTCGCGTATTTATTTTGTAATCCGCAATGACAACGTTTGGCTTGTCCAGGTGTTTTTAAGTGCTAGCGCGAACTTTATATTTCATATATACGAGTACACAGTTTGACTTCTTCTTAACAATGTTGGCGCATTGCAATTTATTTCAGAATTAACAAATACCTGCTTAGTTCGTCAATTAAAACGTTAATTTTTTTCTTTTGTATTTTGCTAGAAATGCAATAGAATTGATTTATTCTAATTTGGCGAAATTTATTGCGACAGTTGTCTGCTCGGTCAAATTAATTAAGCTACATTTATTTTGATTAAATGGAAAAATTTAAATTGTTGTAGAATATAGAGTACCGGAAAAATTAATGCAAAGTAGCAGTATTTTATGCCGTTAGAAAAAGAAACTGCAAAATAAAGTGTACCCGAGTCATTATTTTTCAAGTATTGCCGTATTGGTACTTTAGTTTTCTAAAAATTAAATGGGAATGCTGAATTCGTCTGTTATGAAATTAAGGTTTATGCAGTCCAGATGTTTTTGATATTTTCTAAATTTAATTTTGATGTACATCGTACCCCACATTGTTGTTCTTGCTAAATTTTTAAAATGATACTGAAATAAAATGTAATAATAGTTTCTTAAAAAATATACGTCAATTGATTTGACGCATTTTAATATCCGTTTTTAACTAATCAGGCTTTTTCAATTTGTGTAAAAAAATTCATTTATGATTTATTAGAAATAATTTTATTTTACCAGTTTGTTTAATAAAATGCTTTTATTTGTCAGTAATACAACGTGCAAAACAAAATAACACTTTCGTTATAATAATGTATCAAAAAAAAGAAAAAGTTAATGGAAAAGAATAATTTACTCTGTTTACGCATTTGCTGCCTAACAATACATTTTTCCACATGTTGTTATTGCGTTGCAGTTAAGTAGGTCTCTGCCAAACTGCGGGCATTGTTGTTGGGCATGTGCTGGTTTATAATGTGGAGGAAACTGGTCGGTGGCAGTGTACAACGTCAGTCTGCTCCGTCTTGAGCTGTTTGTTGACCTTCATAATCCTGCCGTTGTGCAGTACAACGGGTGGTCGGCGGAAGTGCATATGAGACACTCACATTGCTTACATGTTTAATTCCCCCATTGAAATTGCCAGCGCCGCGTTAGACAACCGGTTACGCCGGACATATACATGAATAAATAAAGCAGCAGCGCGGCGCTGCTCTGGTTAGTTGTTTATTTGTCGGGAGAAATCAATCCTGATTGACAAGTTGACGAAGTGACGTTGAGGGAAATTTTTGGATATTTTTTTTAAATTTTAAATTAATTGCGCGCGGCCGACTGGAGTGTTTTCAAAATTGTAAATATAATGCGGAGCGATGCAGGGTCTGGTGGAGAAGCTGCTGAGGCGGGGTCGGTATGATTTTGATGAGAAGGGGAAAAATGTCGTTACCTACCCGTTGGGTCCTGCCATTATCGCCAGTCATTTACTGCTGGATGGGGAGCATGTCAAGGCGGGTGGGGACAGTGCCGCCGGGAAGATTAAGCCGGTGAAACGAGTCCGAATCGTGCAGACGGCGCCGGTTGGAAGTATGCATTTGCCACTATTTTTATCGGATTTTTATGGGAATGTGTAGCCTTGCTTTTGGCAGGATTGCACAGATTTCCAGGGAATTGTTGGGAACGTTTGGGATTTCTCTATAAACGGTTTTGGGCGTTTTACATATAATACGATACGATTATTTTTCAGTTTTAAATGCGTTTTGGCGACACGATATTGTACGATAGTCTTCATTTATGAACTTTCAAAATTGTTTTTTTTATTTTCAGGAGTATTTGTTTTGCTGTTAGCTATTCGTTTTGTACGGCTTGCTCCTTTAATTAAATTTATTACTGACCGTTTTAGTTTCTTATGTTTGTAACCCGCGGGGAGACCGAAATTTTGGGTATTTTTTCATAGTGCAGTTATTTTTAAGGCGTATGGAAATTTTTTCGATAATTTAATTTGGGTTGACTATGGGTAAGAATTTTATCATACATACTTAATATTTGAGTAGTATTTTTATTATTGTAGGAATTTTACGCGTATTTCTTTGTTCTTGATCTATTCGTCATGATTAAGTAATCACCAGTCTAAAATATTGTGATCAAATATATCTTTTGTTGTAACAGCGCTGAAAAAATCTGATTAGTGGTCACTCTGCATATTTATTTCCCAAAATTTCAACTTTTCTCTTGTTAATTTCATAATTAAAAATTGATTACGCCGGCACTTGTTTGCAGGGGTGCTGGTGACCGGCGCGTCGGGCTTTATCGCCTCGCACTGCGTGCAGCAGATGCAGGCGGCCGGTTACGCGGTGCGGGGGACGGTGCGCAGTCTGGCCAACGCCAAGAAAGTCGTCCCGCTGTACCAGATGTGCCCCGGCGCCCGCCACAAGCTGGAGCTGGTGGAGGCCGACCTCCTCGACGACCAGCTGGACAACTGGAAAGAGTCCGTCACCACCCGGCTAATGCGCAATTCATCTCCTTCGTACTGACAATAGTGTGGCATTTGCAGAGCGGTGTCCGGCTGCACCTACGTCCTGCACGTGGCCTCGCCATTTCCCAACGAAATCCCAACCGACGAGCAGGTGCGGTAATTTTCGATTTTTGCCGCATTTTTGTGTTAATATTTTTATAAATTTATTCATTCGTTGAATTTTTTTCAACTGATATTTATTTACTTTTTTAAACGCGTGCTGTGCCTGCGGGCGGATCATGGGAATTTTTCGCGCCTTGAATTACGTAAATTACAGTTTACTGATGCTATTGATCCTACATGCTAAGTGTCCCCTCCGTCATATTCGTGTGAATACAACGAAAATACCGTTGTATAGAGAAAAATGTGATCGACAATAAATTTCATTGCATATTGGTAAATAATAAATAATAATTATTTGAATAACTGATTCCATTCAAATGGTAACAGAAACAATAAATTTGATAATGCATTATTAAAAATAAAAAAAAACTGTTATTATGCTTATTGTGCAAGTGAATTATTTCGGACAAACCGGTGCCCGAAATAAATTTAAGTATGGTGTACGCAGTTAATGGAGGATAATCGGGTGATTGTGCGGTGCAGGTGTTGATCAAGCCGGCGGTAGAGGGCACTCTGAACGTCCTGCGGGCCTGCGCGGAAGTGGGCGGCGTCAAGCGGGTGGTGCTGACCAGCTCGGTGGCGGCCGTCGTCGGCCAGACCGCGCCGGACTTCAACAAGACCTACTCGGAGGCCGACTGGACCGATCTGCAGCAGGATGTCGGTGCCTACCAGAAGAGCAAGACGCTCGCCGAGAAGGCCGCCTGGGATTACGTTAACAAACTGCCCGGTACTGAACGCCAGCTATGTATTTATGAAGAATAGGCTCTTTTTAATTTTTCACAGCGCAGCAAATTAGAATTTATTTTTTATTATATGTAGGAGTACATATGTTAAATTAATGTGCACTGTGTAATCGCATCGATGACGTACTTGTTAATTTTTGTAGCGGTTAATGTGCGAGCGCTTTCTCTACACGTTTTCTGAATTTTTTGTTGATAATTTTTTGACAGAGGACAAGCGCTTCGAACTGACCACGATCAATCCGTCATACGTCATGGGCCCGGTAATCCACGGGTCCACCGGCACCAGCCAAGAGGTGGGCACTTCCGCCGTTTACTTGTTATTAATTAATACGTTATTACTTAAACTTATTTTTTAAAATGAATTATTAATTTCAATATTTACAGGCTATTACAGCTGCCAAAAAAATTCTTAATATTTATTTATTTGTTAATATTGGAATTGATAATCAGTTAATTAATGTAAGTATTTGGTAAAAATAAATTATTATTGTTTTAGGCAGAGCTGCAGACTGTACAGTTATCATTACAATTTAAAGTTTTTGCTGATTTATTTATGTACACGCCATCTTTAACGCGTAGGTGGTGGGCCGGCTGATGCGGCACGAAGTGCCGGCGCTGCCGCACATTTCCCTGGAGTTATGCGACGTGCGCAACGTGGCGCAGGCGCACATTCGCGCCATGACGCTGCCGGCGGCGGCCGGTCAGCGTTTTATCATCAACTCGGGCGGGATGTGGTTCAAGGAGATGGCCACGCTGCTGGACCGGGAGTTCCGGCCGCAGGGCTACCGGGTGCCCACGTTGTCGGCGCCCAAATTCCTCGCCAGCATCGTGGCCTGGTTCGACAAGGCCCTGCAGATGGTCATGCCGCGCTGGGGCCAGCAACTGCACTTTGACAATTCCAAGGTCAGACGCCCTTCTTTCATTATACTGAAGTTAATTCCCGAAATAATTAGATGTTGCTCTCTTCCGCATGATAAATTCCTTTCCGCATTATTGAAAATTTATTTTTAATCATAGGCAGTTATGTCCCACATTATAGAACTATTTACTTTCAGAAATATTCTTCATAAAATAAACCAGTATTATAGCTAAATATACCGAATAAATAAAATCAACTTAATTGTTACTATTCATTTTACAGATTCAAGCGTAAAAGGTTCTTTTTAAATTAAATTACTGATAACTCATGCCTGCGTTTTAAATACGGATCACAACAATATCCCTCATAAAGGCTCACATTCTTAGTCGTAAATGTACATTAAAATTTTTAGCATGCGAAGCAATTGTTTAAACTTCACTGCATGGAAAAATATCCGCTTATTGCAGACAGAATAATCCTACTGATTAATTCGCGTAATTGATTCGAAACCAAACTTTATATAATGCAGAAACGAACTACCTGAATACTTTAAAATTAAATCTGTATAACAGGTAAAGAACTGTCCATTTAGTTCCAGTTTTAATGTTTAGATGAAGAACGTGCTGGAAATCCAGCCGTATCCACCGGAGAAGACGCTCCTCGACATGGCCTACTCCATGGTGGACAACGAGCTGATCCCGCGGACAGCCCAGTACAAAGGTCAACCGACCGCTTCCTGACCTTGCCGTTTTTCTACATTCTTCCTAATCCTGCTGTAACGCATCAAAGTGCAATTGTTGCTCACAGTTTTTTTTTAATTGCCTGTTTCTTAATATTCTATGTACTTTGTTGTTAGCCAATTTTTTAAAAAATTTTCACCTTTTTAGTGGGTCGTGGTGTTGGATGTCTGCTTGGTTCTGATGCTATTTTTGTAAGCTGATTGAAAATTCATTTTTTGCAGTTCCCTTGTTACACTCAGCACTGTTATGTGCTCGTTATATAGTTCCAGTGCACGTATGAATGAAAACTGATTGGAGTGAAGAAATGATCAAAGATGCGCTACACAATTACGGCCATTAATTACTTGTATACGAAGAAATGCAACGAAGGGTAGTGAAATGTTTCCCATTGGCCATTGGGGTCTAGGGTAAATTATGCCGTTGTATTACATGATTTTTTCACCGCGCGTTTTGCTGATAAGTTTGGTCAACAACTTAACAGCGACCATTTTAATAAAATCTGAAAAAACTCTCTCGTCAAGACGCCAGTTGCCACCGTTCAACGAGTTCGATTCACTTCTGACTGCTTTTAATGTTGGACAAAACTGCGTTTGCTCTCTCTCTTTCTCCGTCTCTTTTTTATCGCATTTTATCAGTTTTTACCATGGACGAAATTACGGAGTGCGCTGTCTCGAGCAGGGTACGTTATTGGTTGGGAATTTGTCCACACGAGAACGGCTTTACTTAAAAACTTTGAGTGCAACGTAAATTTTGGCTAATTAAATTTTGAACGGCACCATGAAAACATAAGAGTGTACTCGTAAATTCGTAATCAGCGTGTACAAGTGCAGACACCGTTCTTAGCGTTCATTAACTGATTATTATAACGAATCCTACTGACGGATGAAATTTTGCTCAATATAGTACGTTAGAAATTGTCAGTCCAGTTCCCGACGTCCCGCACTGCGGTAAGTTCTTATGGATTATAATAATAACTGCGTAATGTTTAGTATGCGTACAGTTATGTTTATTATGTGTAGTACTCGTATTAAAGCTGTAGCGCGGAGCCATGAGACGTAATTCACGGAAACAGCATGGAGGAATTGAAAAATACAGGATAGTTAGCATTCGGGAAATCAAGCAGCACAAATTACTAATTAGCGAATCAAAACGAAAGTGCTGCACCAGCAGAAAATTTTTTTAGTAATAATAATTTAATACGTTACAGGTTATGGAAGCATTCAAATCATCATTAATTTTGTCATCTAGCCCATCTGATCTGTAAGCTGACTGGTGTCGAATAAAAATTCTGTGGTCGTTGATAGTGAGTGGTTTGTGAACTACTTGCATTTTGTCATTTATCCCTTTATCTAACCGCCACTAAAAATCTTTTATAAAGTAAGGTGCTTAAAATTTATATGTGTCACACAAAATTACCGTATTGTCTTGCGAAACCGCCAGGAAGACGCACTGTATAATCCGGGGAGTGGGGACTTTGGTACAAAAGACACCAGTGGCGAATTTAAGGAGGGGGTCCCTCCCCCGGAAATTTTCAAAAGTGGGAACTTCAAAACGTAAAGGGTTTGCTTTTCAAAGTTGTAACCAATTTTGCATGAAACTGAATAAATTACTATGTTCGTTGAATTTCGAGCGATGTTTCCAGTAAAATCGACGGCTCCGCGCGAAAGTTCCTTTTATTGTACTTTCATATATGAATATTAAATCCCCGCTCGAAATAGGCAAAGAGTTCATCATGTTCTGCAATACACAATGTGTTAATATCTGTAAGTACAATGTGTTAACAATACACAATGTGTTAATAAGTACAATGTGTTAATAAGTACAGTACTCACGCAGTAAAAACGTGCGTCAGCTTCGCGCGAAAGTTTATCATTGTTACGCGTATCTGCCATTACTGCCAACCCTATACATGATACAGCCTGGCGTGATGCCCTTCAGATTTCGCTGAAAGATCAGTTCACCCTTACAGATTAGTTCAACGCCTTTTGGGTTCTCGGGTTTAATTCGCCTAGGAAAAAGAAAGAAACAAAACGGCTTTTAGATTTGTGTTTTTTTCCGCCATACGGTGAGTCTGCCACGCCACCGGAGGCGGCTTCTCCTTTTTGGAAAAAACGCCAGCGCAGGCTTAGGTACTCTGTAATTGGCCAATGTTGCAACACCGGGAGAACTGTGTGCTGGCGAATTGTTGTGTGAGCAAAACGCCGGCAGAATTTTGTATCATGTTCACTTCAAGCATACTTCGAATGCTGCATTATATGGGCTCCACTTACTCTCCCTTATCTGGGCTCCCGAGCAATTTGAGCAACCCTCTACATGGACGGTTACGTTATTACTCACACCTTCGCAGTTTTTATCAGTGTTATGACTGACTGAAAATTTTGAAAAATACTTATTTTGCCAGTACTTTTGTAGCATTTTTCAGTTTGTTCATTGGCAAATCCGGTTGAAATTAATGAAAAATATATATAAATGATATATTTAAATATAATTCGGATGTGAAATTTCGGAATTCTTTGGTGTGCTCACTGGTAAATCCGATTGAAAAAAGCACAAAAGGTTCTGCTACAAATCCGATAAATTTAATTTGACGGGGATTGCAAACTAGCCGGGAGCCCAGATAAGGGAGAGTAATATAAGGGGAGCCCATATAAGGCAGTATTCGAAGTACTTATAAGTAAGAAGAAACTTAAATGACAAACACTGCTCGCGAGTTTAACGGGAGCGGCCATGGTCAGAACGCAGGTGTAATCACTAATCACCTATATCTGTAAAAGTTCATCCTTTTCTCATTAATATATGAAAAAACAAAGTTTTTTCGTATATTTTGCAAGGAGAAGCATGTCATGCTTCTTGGAAAATGGAAACCAAAGATTAGGTAATCATCTAGTAAACGCTCAGACATGCTCCAATCGTTCAAACACCATCCAGTCAACAACTGGCCTTTTGACCACATCAAGTTCTGCTGGCACAATATTACAATTTTCTAAAAGAGCTGCAAGACAAGTGCCTACAAAAAATCCTTAACCGAGCCAAAAATTGTCATGAATGATGGATGTCTCGACCTGTACAGCGTAAAAGGCATCGCTTTGCGAACGAACTTAGAGAAACCGTGTAACCACATTCCAGCGTCGGTACATTAAAACTTTTTAGGTTAACCTGGAGGCGATGGAAGCGGTCCCACCGTTTCAAGCGCTGCTGGCGGATACTAATCAAATAAACTATCACAACACGGTGGCCGTTCGCCAGCCAGACAACACTTGGCTGTTGGGATACATTCAGGATATTCTCGGCGACCACGCCTTCATCCACTTCGACTCCACAACAGTCGCGGCGCGCTGGATGCACAGGGGCGATGTCTGGCCTCTGCCATGGCACCGGAAGAATGAGGAGGCCTGGGAGCGTGACTATGTGTCAGCGTTTGTGGCACTGCGTGACGAGTATAACGGACCGTTTCGTTTCCGGCCAGTCGGGAAGGTGATAATGCTGTATGGTAGTACATCCGGTTATCAAATGTGCTGCATCCAAACGAGCGTTCCAGCACACCAAGCCGGTTTTGAGGTGGTCCATGCATGCCAGGTGACCAGTGCGTTGCCACCCTGCGGTCCGTCCTTGCTGGATCGCCGTAGCGGTTTGCTCTATACCAAGTATCTCATCCCTTTTGGCCACGCCCCAGACGTTTTGTCCGATCCCTCCGATACGTTTCGCATCATTAAGCATGTTTATAACGCTATCGGACATAAACTGAAGCTTATGCATCAGTTCCATTTTCGCATCCAACAAGAAGATTTGCATGAGTCCTGCCGGTTCCATTTGCGCATCCACCAGGATAGTTGCGTGTTTGTATTCGTCAATCTCGTAACGGACACGCAACGGATACACCGGATGCCGGAATTGTTGGCGAATATCCTGGAAGCGCATCTGACTAGCCTCGGTCGTCTACCGTACATCGATAATGAAGCACCACGCGCAAGCCAAAATTTCCCTTACGAAACCGGTTAGTACTTAGCGGGGTACAATACTTTATTAATAATAATCGCACAGTTCAGGTCAGAAAGAAAGAAAAATCACAACACAGCTATCTTATTCACAACAGCAAAACTTCATTTAAACTATCCACTCCGTCCATTGTGCCAAGGATAGATGCTGCATTTCCACGCTGAATCTCCAGCGATATTCGTTGTCGTAAAAACTCATGCGATCGACGCTCTCCTGGGTGCTCTTGAAGTCTTTTGCCCAACTCCTTCACGATGGCGATAGCCGACGGACCCCAGGGGCCCATCGTTTCAAAGCCGATGGGAGAAAAGATATAACGCCCTAGCAGATACGCATACCGTCGGGACTTCTTATCTTCGGCTTGTACAGCAGCAGCTCCAGCCGTAACCGACGTCGATAAGAGATGGGAAAAGGCCATTGTGTCAACGCACGTCACATCCCAGGCCAGACACATTCCTCTTTTCCAGGCGAAGGTTGTACAACCGTCAGGGCGTTGATCTGTTGTAGAGGACGTACTTAGCAGGTGACCTTTAATAAGTATCATGGTACGAGTACAAACTATGTATGCACCAGAACAAAACAGCATTTACAAAAGAAACACTTCCTCTATGCTATCCTGATCGGGGATCGTACCCATTACACAAATCGCGTTTCCCCGTTGTATTTATAGAAATTCGCTGCTTAAAAAACTCTTTCGCCCGCTTCTAGCCAGTGGAAGTCGCTATACCGTTTCCAACCATTTCCACTAGTTTTTTAGTTCCGTCCCCGTAAGGTCCGTAAATTGACCAGGTTAATTGACCAGTAAATATCTGGCCAATGTCAAAGTTCCGGTGGAGTTTTTTTGTGTGGTGTAAATGCCGGCAGGAATTTTCGTAACGTTGAAACTTGAAAATACAGCGCTTATCCTAAAAACTTAAGACGCTGCGCATCAGATTCGGACAACTTTATTTTGTGTCAAAGTCGTTGAATGTCGAACATTGTCGGTCCTGTCGCCGCTGAACAGGGGATACTTTGCGACGGAAGTTCAGAAATAATTCTGGGATTTTCACCGTTACTTTTGATACTCCACTTACAATGTTAAAATACAGACACGATGTAAAATGTGCCCTGCGATACGCCATATTATTAATTAACATTAGCCATATATCAGGCTTCTACATGGATATTTCGCATCCGGTTAAGAATAAAAGTGTATGTAAACCTATTCTGCAGGTATATTCACTGTACAGGATCCCCCCCTGTGTTATAGTCGACGGGGCGCGCCAGTTTCCGCGTATTTACTTTTCAGGTGTATTTGTTTAC